GGTCATGCATTTCCAAAAAAATTTGTCGGGAGTAAAGGAAGACGTTTTTGTCCGACTTGGTTTGATCAATATGCTAATTGGTTGGAGTATAGTGTAAAAACGGATAGAGCCTTTTGTTTGTGTTGTTATTTGTTTAGAGATAATTACGTATGACAATGTGGAAGTGATGCTTTCGTGACAAATGGTTTTTCGTGCCCCCTACAACTTATTTTTCTGCATCCGCCACTGATTGGCCTCATGTTCATTTCTAACTCATTTATGTCTCTCCCCAAGAGCACCATTATAGTTATAAATGTTTGTCAAATGTTTCCTATCAACCTTACAAGTGCTTCATTTCCTAACCTCAAGTTTCCCATATCTATAACCATATATGTTGAGCACCACTTCAACTAACTTAATTTATAGTCATTTGAATATTCACTAGCCCATGAGATAATCCCCTATCTGACCATACCTTACATGGACCATTCATTCTCATCCCATTTTCTAAAAAGGAATACAATACATCACCAATAATTCGATCATGAGTTTTTATAATAGCAAATTACTCCAATATGAATCTTATGTTGCATTCATATTCTTAATCCCATGATTCAAGCTTGGGTTGTCACATATCCTATTTTGCTTAAACCATTTCTCTTTCATAAAAAAAAACCAAACTTATATACCCTTTTACCCCTTCACTTAATTTTAGTCTAGGCTAATAGTAACCTAGTTCACCCAATTTGGATCCCATTAATACCCTCCCAGTTTAAGCTTAGGCTATCACTAACCTAATTCCCTTAAACTAAGGCTTTGATACCAACTTGTAACACCCTCATTTTCACCATGAGTTGTGTCACGTCATTCTCATTAAATAACAATAAATAACCCCAACATATAGTGGCTAATAAAGCCTTATTATAGCGGAAGTCTTACAAATTCAATTAAAATTAATAGCTCAACGCTAACCCGTCCCAAACCGGGTTACATTACAAAATGAGTTTAAACATAAATCTAAACATCCGAAATATAATGATATAATTATCTAGAAGAGAACCTCGCTCTTGTCCACCCTTGAACCTCTTGCACCTGAGATGCATATTAATAGTCAGCTTTACAAAGCTCGGTGAGTTTATGGTTTTTGTGCACAATCATACACACCTCATCATGCATAAAACAAACAATTCCCCAAATAAAATAATATGCACATTTGTTTCAAACCCTTTTGAAATAATAATGAGATCTCTTAATTTCCCGTCGGGTTAAGGTCTTACCGTCATCGGCACTTCCCCGGGTTACACGGCTATCCCTTGTCTGATTACCCCTCCCTAGGATGTGCCATCCCTTATGACTTTTGACCCCTTCCCATACCCGACAAAAATATTAACCCGTTTATAACATGCTAATTAATGTTTAAAAACACGTAAACAAATAGCATGCAACCCACAATGATAATTCATATACATGTAATAAACCCATAAACATGTACATAAAAAAATAATGTAATGCTCAAATAATTTGTACGTAAGCATGCATCCCAATTAAAATCTCATGAAGACTCACCTTAATAGCTCTGCTTAGCTAAACCTCGTCCCTGAGTAATATCCTATAACATGTAATTGTATTTCAATATTAGAGTATTGACTTTTCCCCAAAAAAATCAACTCAAAAGTCAAATGGGTCAACCTTAGGGTGGGCATGGTGAACGGGTCAACCCCAAACATACCTCGTCGCCATATACCCCCATCTCCAATGGAATTTTTCATATCCAAAATAAATTACGACGTATTAAACCCAACATTTAATTATATATGTCTCTCGTTATAAAAACGTCCGATCCCACCATTATCTAGTCACAACTCCCGAAATAAGTTACTAAATTATTTCTTATAATTTAAATATGRAAATCCAATTAATTAATAATCTTTACAATTGATGTCCAAATATTGACCAACTTAATCGAAACATCCCGATTTATTTCGATTAATCCAAGTAAATCAACGAGCCTCAAATCTCTTTTTAACAAATCAAAACAACTCGAGTCTAACCGAACTCGACCAAAACAAGTCGGTCATGGCCTAAACTTGGTCTAGTGTCGGCCGACTCAACTCGACGCCCGGCCCAACCCGGTCGCACCCTTGGTGCGGCTATCGTTAACGATTTTCGTTTGAGATATTTTTTCCGATCATTTTTCACCAAACTTTTTACAAAATCTTATACATAATAATAATCCCAACTCGAATCCAAATTTACAGCCCCAACGGTTCAATATTAAACTCGTATTTTGAGTTTTTGTACCCGAATCTCGTCGAGCCGCCGCCATAGCAGCTTCTAGCCTAAACCGCTTGAAGTACAAGTCATTATATCCCACGAGACTTGTACCAACAGAAAGGTAATTGAAAAACGAAGCCAACCATATATTATACATCAATTTTGGTTGAGTATTTTACCTCCAATAGTCGTTTTTGTGCGGAATGACCCTATGCCGCTTCAAACTCGATATCTCTTTCGTTTCTTGATGAAATCTCGAAATTCCAAAGACATTTACTTCCTTACACCCTTAGGAACGTCTCCACAAAATTTCAGCCGAAAACTCCAATTTATAAGCCGTTAACCATCTCTAAAACAAGAAAAACGTGATTTTGGGAAATGATTTCCCAAATCTCATCACTTCCAAATTAATTTTCTACTTTTGGCAGAACTAGTCCCTTTTGATTTTCTTTTTGTATTTTCATTCCAAATCAATTAAATACAAAATGTTTCATTTCCCTTTTTATTAATTTTATTTATTGCAATAAAATCATATTTTTCGAGTATCGACACTTTAATCCCGTATGTCGTTACTATTTAAATTTTAACCCTTAACATTTATTTATTTTACGAATCATAAATTTTTAGGTTGTTACAATTATTATTTCAAAAGGGTTTGAAACAAATGTGCATATTATTTATTTGGGGCATTGTTTGTTTTATGCATGATGAGGTGTGTTTGATTGTGTACAAAAACCATGAACTCACCGAGCTTTGTAAAACTGACTATTAATATGCATCTCAGGTGCAAGAGGTTCAAGGGTGGACAAGAGCGAGGTTCTCTTCTAGATAATTATATTATTATATTTCGGATGTTTAGGTTTATGCTTAAACTCATTTTGTAATGTAACCCGGTATGAGACGGGTTAGCGTTGAGTTATTAATTTTAATTGAATTTGTAAGACTTCCGCTGTAATAGGGCCTTATTAGCCACTATATTTTAGGGTTATTTATTGTTATTTAATGAGAATGACGTGACATAACTCATGGTGAAAATGAGGGTGTTACAACCATCGAACACAGGAACCATCAACTTTTCCTCACTCATAGTGTTTCTCCCTTTTGATCTTAATTCGCTCTGATACCACAATGATAAACAAAATCACAGGTATTTCTCACTGAACTTCGATACATTAAGAAATGCCAAAGCTGGCTTTAAATACAAGAGCATAACCAACTGAAATAAACAAACTAAGCTAGAAAACAAGAAGAATACTAAAAAATGGAAATAGCATAAGACTCGGTCTATCACGTGTGCCACTTCACTTGAGTTGACTCAATCAACTTTATTTGAGTTTACCGCTTCAACCAACAGACCCCCAACTTAACTCCATCAATCCCCTCCAAAGATCAGCATACATATATCACTAAATGTAATCCAACCATTTTGGGAAGAAGGATGATAGAAACCTGAGAGACAACATTTTATTCCCTAAAATCCACCTTTGAATTTCATCAACTTGAAGAAAAAGTTCTAGAGAACGCCCTCTCCCTTACCTTAGAGTGAAGAGCCTCTGCTACCTCCTCACCGTTAGGGAATTCCAAATATACCTACATAAACGTAGAAAGAGAACGACATCAACCATAATGATGAAAGATGTCAAAGGTTAGCATGTAAAATGGAGAGAGACGACTCTCTCTCTCTCTCTCTCTCTCTCTGTCCGTGGAGAAGGAAAACGGCTTTTAAAAGAACATGAACTATAAAGAAGGCACTCAACGGGAAAAAAACATAAAGTTTGATAAATCAATAAAAGACGGAATCTTGGATTAAGAAATTCGCATTCGAGACTTGTTAGTCAAACCATGTTGTTGAGATTCTTTCCAGATCATGTATAACTTAAAAGAATGAAGTATTATTGTGCCTAGGATCCTACTCCTTTTGAAGTTGCATACATAGGGTTCTTTTGGGAATATGTGATTGCAGCAGGTAGTGTAGTGGCAAACCATCAAAGTTAAGCAAGCATTCGTAAACTTGTGTACATCTTTTGGAGGATGAACATACATGCTTGATGAAGGATAGACCTTGGGTCAGTGGTGTGATGTTGGTCGTTGCAAAAAGAGGTTGTACCCATCGCCTTTCTCTCTTCTCTCACTGGACTGGCTGATTTCAAACAGCAAGTCCCACTATTTTCTTAATCTTTACAAATGTAGATTGCAAAAGAAAAAATCTTAGAAATGCATTTTTTCGGACCAACTCATCCAACAACTGACATTAAACATATGAACTATCTGGAGAAGAAAAAGAAACCGTAATTGCAATGCCTCTGTAGCTAAAAAGTTGCAATTTCTTCTTTTAAAACATCTTGTTTTAATTAATTACCATGGTCGTTGTTTGTATAGCTAAATCTTGGAGTTAAGATGAACTTTGTACATGTTATTAGATTTTTGTAGCAAATCATTGATGAACACATAAATGTGGATTAAAATTCAAGTTTACATCAAATATAAGTTACCTTGTACCACTACCAAGAGTTTTTGATTCTGACATATCTGCACACATGGTTTCAATTTTTGATGATAACTTTTGTAGCATTAATTTTTGTTGTGTGTGGTTAAGTTTTTGTCCGAGATATTAAAAGAAAAATTAAAGGAAAAGGAATTTAATATGGATGCTGCTGTAACTTGTAAAGAAGATTTATTTAAATTGATAGGATATACTTGTAAGAACAGTGGACCATTTGGTTAGAAATAGAATCTAAATATGCTGAAAATAATAATATCTTTAGTCCTTGTCGTCTCCCTAAAATGGATATTTAAAAAATCCACTACCAGAAAGGAAATTAAAGCAAATCAATGGTTTTCTTGTACGTGTAATGTAACCGTATCTATTACAAAAATATAGGGGATGCCATGGAGGTTTGACGGTGGCGGAGGCGTGGAGCATCGCAGCGGCCAGCCTTTTGAGATTGGCGAAATCGGTGGATCATCTTCTTGGTGGAGATCTGGAGGCTTGTTATATCATCTATGTATATCTGTCTGTTCCTGCACTCTTGGCTGCAGAAACCCTGGTCTCCTTTGTACATATACACGTTTTTGTCAAGGGAAAGATGCTTGTGGCAAAGAAAACAAGATTTAAGAAAACAATAAGAAGAAGAAGAAGGCATTTGATTCCGTTGGAAAATGGGTTTGGAATTGGAACCGGAACCGGAATGATGGTGGGTAGTAGTAAGAATCTTCAAGCCAACAGGTTTTGATTCCATTGAAGCTGTGTTGCAGCAGGTGGTGGTGGTAGTGTCATCCACTTTCCATTTACCCATAGAGATGAGATGAGATCAGATCATTCAATTCTTTTTTAATTCTCTACCTGTTGGTTGGTATATTTGCAGGAAGGAATTGAAAGGGAAAGAGAGAGAGAGAGAGGGAGATGGAGTTGAAGAAAAGAGTGATGATGGGTATTTAAAGAGAGGAGACATAAACATTAAACAGTGTGTGTATGGTCACAAAGCATTATAAAATCAATGAAAAGAGAGCATGTTTATCATATGCTTATGCTATGCTGCTTTTCCTCTCTTTTTGTCGCTTTAGGGCCTTAATTTTTCAATTCTTTTATAAAAATAATGGGTATATTTGGATCAAATCTTATACATAAAAAAAGATAGATACGTATGACCAGGGGCGGAACCCCATAGAGGCCTTTGGGGGCCATGGCCCCCCCGCTTTTATACTTAAATACTATAACTAAGCTATGAAAAACATCTACATTAGTAGCTCAGTTGGCAATGTTGCTCAACCTACAAACTAGAGGTTGCTGTTTCAAATCCCATCCCAAGCAATGTTTTTGCACTTTATATAAGTTATTAATATTTAATTATATATATTAGTTTTTATATAATATATTAATTATATGTAAATATAAGTTTTTAAAGTAAATTACACCGGTATTACTATTTCTCGGTTAATACTTTGAATATTTAAGTTTTTAGAGTAAATAATATAATATATTAATTATATGTAAATAATGTTTAAATTGATATTACTATTTTCCTGTTAATACTTTGAATGTTTCGAGTTTTAATATTACATTAATCAATATTTTTTCTAAAATTTAATAGTCTAAAAACAAATCATTTGGATTTACAAATTTTTACAATAATATAGCATCTTCAACATATTCTTCAAAAAAATTCCAAAATGGATAATTAAAACTCTATTAAAACYARGCTCGAGCTCCCCRCCCCAGCCAATCTCCCATTGGCAGGAAAGTCGTTTCGATCCAATCCATTCTTGGGGTCAAATAAAGACAAAAAATGATATGTCAATGACCTATAAACCATTAATATCAAGGATTCTTAACGGTGTGAATATGATGAAAAAAAAATGATTCTCTCTCATTGTAATCAATTTTTGTTTACACTCTCTCATGTTTTCTCCGTTTTGGAGAATTTTGGAGAGTATGTTGGAGCAAAAATATGCCTAAAATCTCCATTTTCTCAATTTTGAAAAATCTATTAAAGATGCTCTTATATTTCGGCCCCCCAGACTACAACGGTTGTGTTCCGCCCCTGCGTATGACTCTCAAAATTGGTAAGAAAAACATTTTTATGTAACCGAAAAATATTTTAGAAAATATGAAAGATATTTTGTAGGAAGGGTCGGGTTTATTTATCATCACCATTACTAATTAGTTAACCGAAACTAATTAATTAGGTTGAATACGACAGTTCTTCCAAAAAATATATATATATATTTTATTTAAAGATTTTGATATATGTAAATATTTGATAAGTATTTTCAATGAAAAACTCATGTCAAATCAATAACAAACCAAAGGGCTCTAATTAATAGTAATTAATTCACCAATTTATAATATAATTTGTAACGCCTTAATTATTATTATAAAATTTTGATCGACAAAACCCATTAACCCATTCATATAAAATGTTTGGAAACGTGCCACTTGTGGTGGTTTATGACTATATTACAAAAGTTGTCCACCAGATCTGTGTAAACTTGGTTTTCGTCCATAACTTTTAGAAATTATAAGAACCATCATTGTGATTTATATTTAGTTACAAATATCATCCTTGGCCATTCACGCTTCGTTTTACGTTAATGAAATTTGGTAACTTTGCATTTCGTTTTATCTTTCTTCCAATATACATAATTGTAATTGTAAAGCACAAGTGTTTAAAACATTGAAAAAACACCCTACATTAAAGCACCACTAATCATTAACTCGATCCTCCTCATCACCGGCACCTTTACTTCATCGTTACCCCACCTTATCTGGCATGTAACCCCTCCACCTAAACCCATAATCCATGCCTATATATAACTTTGTATGCCGCTCCCATTATCAATTAATTGAAGCTTCGAGATATTGGGATTTGTTTTGATATTCCATGTCATATATAAAAAAGTTGTATGATCGATATATATCCATTGCTTTTGGTTCTGATAGAAGTTCACATAGGCCATAACAAAACAATAGGTTTCTACAAACATCCATCACCAACGTATATGTCGGTTGTCATTCGAATGGGATAAAAACACGAAAATCACATAAATTAAACAATAATATATTTATCATTCAAATCTTAAATGCATGATTATCATCTTAACTCGAGGGTTTGAAGTCGAATAAAGCTTAGAAATCTTCTGATGATTTTAGCAATTGTAACTTTAAATACAATATGTTTCATATAAATTATGTTCTATATTGCAACAAAATTAAGGTGGAGTTGGCAATGTGAATTGGGGTTAATTTTAGGAAATTTTTTAAGAGTTTCAAAAAAAGTTGGTAAAATAATTGAATTGCCACTCATGTGATGAGACTTAACGACACACAGGGTAACAGACGTTAGGATCAGGGATATTTTTCGTAATGAATTGTAAACCACATTGATGGTGGTGCTTGTAAATTTCAAAAGTTAGTGACGGAAAACAGAGTTTCCAACAAACTCTAAGGAGGATTTTAAAATTTTACCTTTTTGTTATCATACACGCACATGTAAATATGATATTAAATTAAAAACGCGTTCAAATTTGTTTTTAGCATTAGACATTTGAAAGGAGAAACAATCTATCCAAATACCATAAGCTTTGTAGGTGAGTTTGAATACAATTGATTTCAAATATAAAATTATTTGAAGTTAATACAAGCTTCAATTGATTAGTGATTTGTAAGTTAAATACTTGTATGTTTATGAAAAGATAGGAAGGAAATGAATGGAAGTGAAAATGAAATACAAGTATAAACATTGTTATATATATATATATATATATTTAGATTTGCATTGTGAGTGATGTACTAGTAACTACAATACAATACAATACAATACAATGTTTGTGGAACGGATAAAAAGTAATGAAAATGATGTGTTATTTTACATTAATTCATTTAAATATTGAAAAATCAAAATAATCATGAGGTATGTTGATAATGTAATATGTTAAATTAGATTGAGAAAATAATTGCAAATATATAGACATTCAATACATGGATAAAAATGAATAATTTGTTTGCTATCAAAATTAATTATAGAAATAGAGAGATTTGTTGTTGATATTATTAGGGGTTACATCAAGATTGTGGTCCGCCATTTGCATGCATATTGAGTATTGAGTATTGAGAGATGTTATGTGAGCAAATGGAAATTTGTGTTAGAAAAAGATAATGTTTGTATGGTTGTGAATCAAATATTATATTATACATGTATATATATATGTATTATCAAGTGTTGTTTTTGTAATATTTTAGAAATAAAGGAACATAAATTATAATTATAGATTGTAAAATGATGAACTGAAATAGGAATAGGAATAGGAAGCTAAGCCTAAGTTTTAGATTGTAAAATGATGATAATAAGTTTGAGTTTGAGTTTGAGGCCAAATAGTAATTACAACTAAACTCACCTTCCAGTTCCATTGTCCACAGGAGTAGAGTAGAGTTAAGTTGGGACTTTTCTTTTCCATATTATTTTATGAATGAATGGAAATTGGAACCACATAAAAATCATTTAAAAAAGAAAAACTATTTGAGAACCAAAGATTGCTTTTAGACTTGACTTCTTTTATTTTAAAATGTTTTCATTTTATGTTATACCCTTTTCCCCATCCCATTATGAGTCTCGCGTAAATTTTTAGGAATTTATTTTGCTCTTCACAAAACAAAATACGTGTTATTTATTCCGAAGAAAAAAACCTTAATCCTTGCTCAACATCTTCTTTTTGTTTTTCTCCTCTACAATACGTACATCCGTCTTTTTTCATATTTTTCTCTATATTCACGAATCATGACCATCTCATCAAATATAGTCATATTTATTTTAAATATTTGTAATTACTTATATATATAGTATTAATTCTTTACAATTTCAATCATGACAATAAAAATAATTAAAATCCATAAAATAAATTTGAAAAGTTGTATAAAATAACACACTTTCAGATATATATATATATATATATATATAAATGATAAATTAAGTTTTAATTATGTAGCATAATGAAACAGGAAGAATTGGCCCGGTCCGTTGCGTCCGTGATTGATATATGTATATTTCCGACCGACCGACCGACAGACCGGCCGACCGCAAAGCATTGGAACAAGCGGTGAAATAAAAGTCGTCTTCTTCTTTTCTACAGCTTCACTCTCCGAAAACCCAATTACAATTTCATACAAAAATCACCGTCTTTCTCTTCTCCCAAACCTAATTTTACCTTTCCGGTATGCGATTCACGGTTTCCTTCACTTGCTGTCACAAACTCTCCATTTTCTCTTTCTAATCCTTGTCTTTTTCCCCCTTTTTCTTTCAACTCTTGGGGATCTGATTGTGATTCTTGATTCTTATCCCATGCTAATACAGCTTGCATCACAGATTCATGCTTTCTTTTCTTAAATATTCAATTTTACTTCTCTTCTTCTTCAAATCTTTCGTCTTTCCATCTTTGATTGACCTTTTAGGATTCCGATCCAATTCAACCCATGATTCTTGGTTTCTAACTAATCAAATTCCGTGTTCAAAGTTGACGACACAGATTTTGGTTAGCATTGTCGAGTGAAACTTCTTGTTCGTGGTTTCAAATTGTTCGCTTGGTGACTCAAGTGATCAATCTCAACTGAACAAGTTCCATACGTGATAGCTTGTCAGAAATCGCCATCTGCACAGGTTTGATAAACAAAATAAGACGGGATTCCTTCAAATTGTGTTTTGTCAATTAGAGTTGGTGGCTTGCCCCCAGTAACTGGATTAGGTTTTCTTCATCCCCAACCTTGTATTCAAATCAGATGTGGTCTGTAGACAGATGAGTATTTCGCAATGACTGAGATAAAGAGGATTGCTTGTCCATGGATGCATCGGACAACCCGTTATCTGATCTGGTAGGGGCATTGAAATCATGGGTCCCTCGGCGGTCCGAGCCAGCTAATGTGTCGAGGGACTTTTGGATGCCCGATCAGAGTTGCAGGGTGTGCTACGAGTGTGATTCCCAGTTTACCTTATTCAATCGAAGACATCACTGCAGATTTTGTGGCCGTGTTTTCTGTGCCAAGTGCACTCACAATTGGGTTCCTGCATATTCTACTGATTCAAATATCATCAGGGAAGAGTCGGGGAAGATCAGGGTCTGTAGTTACTGCTTCCAGCAATGGCAGCACGGTTGCTTGGCTACCTCTGTTGATCATGAGATCCAGGTCACCAGCCTGGATCTCAGCACTTCACCATCCGCTGCCAGTTACATCAGCACCAAATCCAGTGGCACTGCTGACAGTAGCTGCATAACCTTTACATCTGTGCCAAATTCAGTCAGCTCTTATCAACAGAATCCTAATCATTCTGGACTTGGTCCTTGTCAATCTTCAGTGATGGAATCAAATCTAGAAGAGCAAAATGCAGTAGCAACAATGAACGAGGAAGTCCTACTAGACGGGGTCACTCATTCTCCTAGCCAAGTTGGGTTTTGCATGAACAGGTTTCTTTAATTTCCCACCACTTTTTATTTGCATCATCATAATAATGGCTATCTAGACCCTTTCACAGTTGAGCCATGAAGCTTATGTCGAATTCATGATATGTTGCGGCATTTCATGCGCCTATGAAGCTCAAAATGTCATCACATGGTTTCTTGCATATGATTTGTGTGTTGACAGTTTTTGTAGTGGCTATGTGTACGTGAAACTTGAGACGATGGTAAGCTGTCAACATAAGCATTCACTCGGGGACCATGTTCCTCAAACGTGCATTATAAAATATATATGGGTTAATTCACATCGCACAAGCATTTCCACTTTTTATGCCCAAGTAATGTGTAGTGTAATGTGAGCAGAACCATACAGATGCATAAATGCTGTTCAGTTGCTTCTTTTACTTTTTGCATTCGACTACATGAAGGATTCATGGACTTACATGTTAGTGACTCTTGAGTTACATAGCGTACTCTTCCATTCTCTTTTTGTCATCTAATGATCAGTGTGCCACTTGGAAGACCGTCTTTTGCAAAAGTAGTTTTTTTTTGAAGTGTATAAAACTTCATGCTGTATTATGTTTTCACGTTGTATGGGGAATCATCTTGCAAGATCTTAATGAGGACCACTAACCGTAATGATGTTATTGTTTTTGGAGCAAGAGTTTTCACTTGGATAGCATTGTCAGTTCAAAAAATAACATGGACTTGGTGGGTCAATGTGGCATATGCTTATTTATCACTCTTGGGTTAAGTGGTTAATTATCCTTGTCTTCCACTGACATCAGGGGTGATGACTTCAACGGCGAATTTGCTTATTCAAGCCATCTTTCACATGATAATGCGTATTATGATGAACTACAACTGGATGATGTTGGCAATGACTATGGGTCTCGTAAAGTGCATCCAGATGGAGAAGCTGCTGATGTCAAAAGTGCAAGCAGCTCTTCATTACAAAACAGTTTCGATTCGAGGTGCTCTGAGGGAGTCCAACAACTTGAGGAAAAAGAAGATGAACATGATGTTAGTGATGAATGTGAAGCATCTTCGTCTTTATATGCTGCACAAGACATTGATGCTGAACCTGTGGATTTTGAGAACAATGGTATCCTATGGCTGCCTCCTGAACCCGAAGATGAAGAAGATGAGAGGGAAGCTCTTCTATTTGATGATGACGATGATGATGGGGATGCTGTCGGAGAGTGGGGATATATGCGCACTTCAGGCAATATGGGAAGTGGGGAGTTTCGCAACAGGGATAGGTCAAATGAGGAGCACAAGAAAGCCATGAAGAATGTAGTTGATGGACACTTCAGGGCTCTAGTATCTCAGTTGTTGCAGGTTGAGAGCCTCTCTGTGGGTGAGGAAGATGATAAAGATAATTGGTTAGAAATAATTACATCCCTGTCATGGGAGGCTGCATCATTGCTAAAACCAGACACAAGCAAAGGTGGTGGGATGGACCCAGGAGGTTATGTGAAGATTAAATGTTTAGCTTCTGGACGTCGTACTGACAGGTAAGAGTTTCAGTGATACATATGTTTGAACATCTCTTCTCCTCAACACTACCCTAAGACACTCGCCTCACCCAGTCACCCTCAAATCATCTGGATATTTCAGTTAAAATGTTAAAAACTGTTTGCAGAATTGTATATGATCAACTGACAGACACACATGATTTTTTACCTAATAGTGCATTTGTCCCAGATTGTTTCTAATTGGAACACCGGATTTTTGTTTTTAAGAACCCAGAAACTATGGTAACTAAGTAGGTTACTTAAATTATTCGAGGCAAACAGGCAGGGTATGCTGCTATTATAGTGTAAATCCGTCTTCACAATTTTCATGTTTGGAGCTTCTACAGGGTCAGTTCGACTCTTTACTTCCTTATTGGCAACGCAGTGAAAATGAATAATGCAATTTTGATGTTCCCATTTACATAAGCTCTTTACCCATACATGTCGGGTATCTTATGTTACGGTTATAAATAACAATATCTTGACATGAAAGTCGTTGTTCTAGAAAGAGTTGAGTGGAGTTGGTCGGCTGAACGACCTTCTAGCGCTTAATCGCCTAAGCAGAGATTAAGTGGACTCTTTAGCAGTTCTTTTTGATATATAAACTTTATTCTCAGATATCTAAACATAAGAATTAAAAATTTCATACTATGTCATTTTGATATTTAATTAATTAGTTAGAAAGGAGTTGATGATTACTTCCAAGTAGAGAAAAAATGATGGATGACCGTTGGTTGAGAAAATGGATGAATATTGGTTTAGAAGGCGATTACTACCTGCTTAGTTTTCTGAAATTCTCATTACAACAAAACCACGAAATGAGCCCACTATATTCCATCCCAAGGTGGGGTCTGGATGTTGGGTATTACAAAACCTGTCCTCTACCCCAAGGAGTAAAGTGGCTGTTTCCGTGAAAATTCTCATTTCAACAGTTGGTTGCTAACAGAAGCAGTGGTGGTGGGGGGGGGGACCCTAAATAATAGGAGCAATAGGGGAATGCTTAACACTTAGGAGGTTGCCTAAATGGAATATTATAGAAGACTAATAAAAATGGATGTTGTTTATGCTTCTAGTTTCCTGTTGACTGTAGTATGTCAACGATGTAACTAAATGCTCAATGCATGAGTTTTGTGATTTGAGATCGTTGATATTTATATATGCTTATATTACGAATTGTTAAAACTGACATATAATCATCAATATGGACCCATAATTTGGTAGGTGTTTTCTTGGGGAACATTGGTAATCACATGTTATAGTCTTAAAAGGGATCAAGGTAAATGCGTTCTATGAAATTGAGTGCGTGATATTGGTCTTTGAGTTGATGAGGTTTGTGCTAGAGGCTTCATGATATCGATAATTTATTCTCTATGTTCGTTTTTCACAATTTTCAATTTTTTACCATTGTCCTATAGAGCGTGCCGTTTAACTTAACCAGCATACACTATCCAACATAAGGTACTGCCTTTGCTGACATACTTGAACCCAGTATCATTTCTATCCTCATTAGCAGTGTGATAAATTAGCTATGTACTGTAGGTACTTCTAAATTAAGTTTGATCGTTGCTACTCTCTTTTACTCCTCCGTAATTCTAGACTTAACAGCCTTACTCGTAACTAAGTAACTAACACTAAGTATGATATGCACTGTTCAATTACTGCAACACCATTATGATTTATGAAGTAGTATATACTACTTCATAAAAGAAGGATAACTGTTGCATGAAGACTATTTATGATTTTCCTTTAGTTGGATTTTAAGTCGCTGATTAGTTTGAGATAAAAGGCTCATTGTTGGCTAAATTATTTGCTTATGGGGGATCTACACTTGTTTGTAAACATTATTTTCATTGGTCTTTATTCGATATTTCTATGTACAAAATGTTGACATTGTGTTTTTGGAGTATATTGTATGCTTTACTGGTTTGTTCTCTTTTGTATACGAAATAACTGTCATGGCATATGTTAAAGGCCCTCGTTTATGAAAGACCTATTAAAAGAAGCATGCATCCAAACTTTAGTGCCAAGGACATCTTTGCACTTAGCAGCCCTTGGGGTCTTGATTAATTTGGGGGTTATTATTCATCTTTGTACTTGCTGTTTTATTTTCCAATTATTTCTTCAATTAAGAAAACGAGAGAGAACTAAAATAATAGAATAATCATTCTAGGTATTCTCTCTCTTAGCCCATTCGGAAGGATTTCATATTGTAATTATCCATGATTGTTTATGTCTCTAGCGTGACCACTGATGAAATGTGGAGGGAAGTGGGGTAAATAGTTGATACTACCGGAAGAATTCCTCTTTGGATAGTAGGTACTTCAGCTGGCATTTTTATGATTGGTTTAGTAGGCGTTTTCTTTTATGTTTCATATTTCGGATTGGGTTCATCCATGTAGTATAGTTGGATGAATGGAGTTGTAGATATGAAAGCGTTCAGAGTTGACAGATTTCTTTCTTTGTTTGTCTAATCATGCTCAATTTGCACAGAGAAGTTAGCTCATTATTTGCATTTTGGTGTCACATAAGCATCAGAGTAACATAAATTGACTAATCACAACAAAAATACTTTAATAGTGCTCCCCACGGTTGTGTCTAGATCAGTCTTAGAAGTCATTATCATGCCTATCTTTTCCCATAATAAGTATGTTCATATTGAACTGCATCACAGTTTTTCTTCCTCACCACAACAATTTTTCCTTGTTCTTTCGCCTTCTTTTTCCTTTTGTATGGGCGTTCGCACTTTTCTTTCTCTTGTAACGTTTTTTTGTTTTTTCAGTATGGTGGTCAAAGGAGTTGTTTGTAAGAAAAATGTGGCTCATCGACGGATGACATCAAGAATAGAGAAGCCTCGATTCTTAATTCTTGGAGGGGCTCTTGAGTATCAGCGGATTTCTAACCTCCTATCAAGTTTTGATACTTTATTGCAACAGGTTGCAGTTTTTTCCTTTCCTTTTTAATCCTAGTGTTGGTTCATTCAAATCTACTACTTTTGTGCAGTGCTTATGAGAAGGTGTTTTTCTTTCTTTACCTTTTGCCCATGTGGTCACTCTTTCTCTGTGTTTAGGAAATGGATCATTTGAAGATGGCTGTAGCAAAGATAGACGCACACCAGCCTGATGTCCTTCTGGTAGAGAAATCAGTTTCACGGTATGCGCAGGAATATCTTCTTGCGAAAGACATATCCCTTGTATTGAACATCAAAAGGCCACTTTTGGAGCGAATAGCCCGCTGCACTGGTGCTCAGATAGTTCCTTCAATTGATCATCTTTCATCTCAGAAATTGGGGTACTGTGATATGTTCCATGTTGAAAGGTTTCTAGAAGAGCATGGAACTGCAGGCCATGGTGGAAAGAAATTGGTGAAGACATTGATGTATTTTGAAGGGTGTCCAAAGCCTTTTGGTTGCACTGTAAGTGATTGCCGTTCGATAGAAGGAAATGAAAACTTCTAGAATAGTATGCTGTTTTTGGTGCTGGAAAGTTTTGGAGGTTCTCATTATTATATAATGCCAGACAGCAATGACAAGTTCTTTAGAATCGTTTGTCCTGGTTAGATTTATTTATGCATGTGTTGCAACTTACAGTTTGTAATTGTTTACCTCTTCATTTTCTCAGATATTACTCAGAGGTGCCGGTGGCGACGAACTGAAGAAAGTGAAGCATGTTGTTCAATATGGAGTTTTTGCCGCTTATCACTTGGCCTTGGAGACCTCTTTTCTTGCTGATGAAGGGGCCTCACTGCCAGAACTTCCCTTAAATTCTCCACTGACAGTGGCACTTCCTGACAAGGCATCAAGCATTGACAGGTCCATTTCAACAATACCTGGTTTTACTGTCCCTCCAATCGAGAGGTCCCAGGGGCCTGAGAAATACGTTGAAGCACAAATGTCAAACAGTGTCCCCATGTCAGATGTGTTTTCTTCTATTATGAACCAGAAGTCGGAAGCGATGCGGTTACCAGCTGGATCTAACACTCGTAACTATCAAAACATACAACCCACTTTCAAAGTTGACAGCTCTGCCACATCTATGCTCTCAAACTTGGATGTTTCAGATGCCACTGGCGGTGAGCTTGCTCCTTCTAATGCACCTTGGGAGATGGGTACAATAGGAACAAAGAATACCTCTGAAGCAATAACTTCTGCATCCAACAATGGGAAAGTTGTTGGGGCTGATGCCACTGCTAATGGCTTTGAGCAACCTCAGGCACAAAATTTGCTTCGAGGTTCACAAATTAGTGATGGCACCGAAAATGTTGACCAAGGTACTTCAGATGGATTATATCTGCAGTTGGATGGGAAGAACGGTAAGGAGGAATCTGCTTCTTCAAAGGAAGAGTTTCCTCCGACACCATCAGATCATCAGAGCATTTTGGTATCCTTGTCATCCCGGTGTGTGTGGAAAGGGACTGTTTGTGAAAGGTCCCATCTCTTTCGCATAAAATACTATGGGAACTTTGATAAACCATTGGGACGCTTTCTTCGAGATAATTTGTTTGATCAAGTAAGCTGAATCTCTCTCCATCCCTTCCCCCACGTAATTTATGTGTTAGTCATATGTTAATGATTTTGTCTTGGTGCTAGTTGCATTATGACATTCTAAGGTTACGTAAATTCTTCTTATTTGCCAGGGTTATAGATGCACTTCATGTGAAATGCCTTCAGAAGCACATGTACAGTGTTACACCCATAGGCAAGGCACCCTCACCATATCTGTGAAGAAGTTGCCGGAGTTTCTTTTGCCAGGAGAGAAAGAAGGTAAGATTTGGATGTGGCACAGGTGCTTGAGATGTCCACGGATTAATGGTTTCCCTCCTGCAACCCGAAGAATTGTGATGTCAGATGCTGCCTGGGGTTTATCGTTTGGAAAGTTTTTGGAGCTTAGTTTTTCTAACCATGCTGCTGCCAGCAGGGTTGCAAGCTGTGGCCATTCTCTGCATCGAGACTGTCTTCGTTTTTATGGGTATCCCTTCATCTTGCTTTGAGACACTTTCTTTGCTCATGGCATATTAATAGTTGTTCCCTACTACAAAAGGTTTGAGGAGAATGTGCTATTTATATTTCATAGGTATTTGTTGTGTATTTATGCCTAAAACATTTTATTTGAATGGGAATAAATCATTATTGAACTCGATAGCAGTTAAGGTTTGTTTAAGACTATAAAATTATAAATGCTCATTACCCATCTTTCTGGTGATCAATTGGATGCAAAAATGGGAAGGAAATTTGCTGTGACATTGGGTACTTATTGAATTTCGTAGTTTCTTCTCCATATTCCATGTCATAAACGTTCTTGTTGTGCATGCAGCTTTGGCAAAATGGTTGCCTGCTTCCGCTATGCATCAATCAATGTCCACTCCGTCTACCTTCCTCCTCCCAAACTTGTTTTCAAATATGAGACTCAGGAGTGGATACAAAATGAAGTGAATGAGGTTTGATAACAGAACTATGTGAGTTTTGATTGCATCAAATGAAATATGTATTCTAATTGTTTGCATGAGCAGGTTGTTAGCCGGGCTGAGCTATTATTTTCAGAAGTTCTTAATGCCCTGAGCCAGATGGCAGAAAATAATTTTGGGAAGAGTTCAGTTAATAGTACCACCAAAATGCCACCATCAAGACGTCAAATAGCAGATTTGGAAGAGATGCTACAGAAGGAGAAAGCAGAATTCGAGGTGACCTATGTTTTATTTTGTTCTATTTTGCCAGCTTGACCAATATAGATGGTTATACAAACTTTTGGTAGATGTGCGTTTAACAACTGATATGCTCTTAACTGAAACCAAATAACATTATGAGTTTATGTCAGACTGTTTTTTGTAAAACAAAATATATTACTATGAACTACTTAAGCAAGGAGGTGATTTTGATGCTGTAATATAATACTCCATGCATGCCCACGAAATTGCCTGCAATTTCAAAGTCGATGAAAAATTGATAACTATACCAAAAGTACGTGTGCTTTAGTAGAAAAAGATTCATGTTGAAGAATGTAAAGCATTATAATGTAATTAAACTATTGGCAAATACAAGTTTGGCATTCAGAGTCGAATGGTGATAACGAGCAGAGAATGGAGAGGAGTCCTCTGGAAGTTTCTAAGAACACGATATAACAGAGGAGGGAGGGGGAAAGTGCAGCATGGGTTTCCTATAACTTGCATCACAAGTTACATGAATATGATCACACAGTTGCATTGTACTGTTGGTGTTTATTTATGACTTTCAGTGAGCAATAATTCCGTTAGTGTGGGCCTTTCATCTATTTTATGATATATTTGCAGGAGTCACTTCAAAAGATTTTAAATCAGGAGGCGAAAAAAGGCCAACCCGTTGTTGATATTTTTGAGATCAACCGATTGCGAAGACAGCTACTCTTCCAATCTTATGTTTGGGACCATCGACTGGTGTATGCAGCTAGTATCAATATCAACAGTCCTCGAGGTGATCTGAATGACTTGAAATCCGAAAATGTGGGTAAACTAAATGAGACACTTGTTGAAGTGAAATCACCTGTTTATTCATGCAAAGATTCAGATGTTAGTTACACTCTTGATATGAAGCGAATACACAGCCAAGAAACTGGAACAGGTATCATCCAGCCGGAAGTGATTGATAAAGAGACCAAGGTTTCAGTAGATTCAAGTCCTAAAAAAGAAAATCGGTCTAGCCTTGGTGATGGTAAAAATGACTCTGACAATTCTGATCCACTAATATGTGATATAGGTATCCATAAGGCATTTTCTGAAGGCCAGCTCCCTGTTATGCCAAGTTTGTCAGACACCCTAGAAGCTGCCTGGACTGGTAATCACCCAGGATCTGGAGTACAAAAGGATACTCTATCTGTATTGTCTGATTCAGATGTGACAGATTCTTCAGTGATGGATAAGCTGGATAAGGGAGATCATGGGGAAGAACAAGGCTGGACGAAGTCATCACTTCCATCTCCTGCATTGTCTACAAGAGGTTCTGAAAGTATAGATGATTCAATTAGCTGGTTGAGCATGCCATTTTTAAACTTCTACCGCTCATTGAATAGAAACCTTTTAGCGAGTTCTCAGAAACTTGACACGCTTAATGATTATAATCCTGTCTACATCTTGTCTTATCGGGAATCAGAACTCCAGGGTGGTGCTAGGCTGCTTCTAGCCGTGGGCATCAATGACACGGTTATTCCGGTGTATGACGATGAGCCCACAAGTATCATATCCTATGCATTGCTTTCCCCTGATTACATTTCCCAGATGTCTGGTGAGTTTGAGAAACGAAAAGATGGGGAATCTATCTTTTCATCCCACTCTGCTGATTCAGTGATGTTCCAGTCATTCAGCAATTTTGATGAAATAGGACTGGAATCTTTTAAAAGCGTTGGGGATGAGAGTATATTATCCATGTCAGGATCTCGTAGTTCCCTGGTTTTAGACCCTTTGTTATACACAAAGGCTTTACATGCGAGAGTTGAATTTGCAGATGATGGTCCTCTTGGTAAAGTAAAATACACTGTGATCTCTTACTATGCAAAGCGTTTTGAAGCATTAAGGAGGATGTGTTGCCCTTCTGAATTGGATTTTGTAAGGTCTCTTAGTCGCTGTAAAAAGTGGGGTGCCCAAGGTGGTAAGAGCAATGTTTTCTTTGCAAAAACCTTAGATGACCGGTTCATAATCAAGCAGGTTACAAAAACCGAGTTGGAGTCGTTTATCAAATTTGCTCCTGCATACTTCAAGTATCTATCTGAATCAATTGCCTCTGGAAGCCCTACATGCCTGGCAAAGATTTTGGGCATTTATCAGGTATTTTTTTTTTCGGGGGTTGGTTTTGTTATGCAACTCAAATTGAGTAGCTTGGTTGAAAAGTTCATTTGTTGCCTTTATCTTGTAAGGTACTCGGATGATAGGTTTGTCGAAAATGGCATCAATGTCAAGTTCTTTGTGGTGAATTAAAGCACGTAACATGAACTACATCATAGTCCATCCCAAAAAATGCAATATTTTGTAGTTTGGGTGTATGTTTCCTCTTTTGGGAAGATCCACTTCCAAATTACCTATTTACACGCACGCAACCATTACGTATTTACCTAATTTTTTCCTTCGTAAAGTTGATTTGGTAGTACCATATTCTGAGTTGTATTCAATCACCACCCATTCTTTTTCTAAGACGGTTTATTGGCTTTGTCACTGTATACTGTATAGTAAAGGTTTGTATGCCCATTAAAATCATTTTGGGTTTTTATTGATATGCAACACTGTTTCCTTGGAATTTTGTGTAAAGGTCACTAAGCAAATGAAAGGGGGGAAAGAATCCAAAATGGATGTGCTGGTTATGGAGAATCTTCTCTTTGGAAGGAATTTGACGCGGCTTTATGATCTTAAAGGATCTTCTAGGTCACGGTATAATCCAGATTCCAGCGGGAGTAACAAGGTTCTACTGGATCAGAATTTGATTGAAGCGATGCCAACGTCTCCGATATTTGTTGGAAACAAAGCAAAGAGATTGTTAGAGAGAGCTGTCTGGAATGATACTGCTTTTCTTGCTGTAAGGATCCTGTGCTGTTTGAAAGTTGTACTTATCTTGTCATCTTCTGGTTAATGAATTGAATTGAATTGAATTGAATGAATGCAGTCAATCGATGTGATGGATTATTCTTTGCTGGTTGGGGTAGATGAAGAAAAGCATGAACTCGTTCTTGGGATCATCGATTTCATGAGACAGTATACTTGGGACAAGCACCTAGAGACATGGGTGAAGGCTTCTGGCATCCTTGGGGGGCCGAAAAATGCATCTCCAACAGTGATTTCACCCAAGCAGTACAAGAAGAGATTCAGGAAAGCCATGACCACCTATTTTCTTATGGTCCCAGATCAATGGTCGCCCCCTGCTGTTGTACCAAGCAGGGATCCTTGTGAAGACAACGCCCAAGACTGATGGTTTGCATTTGTAGTAGTCGTCGTAATAGTATATTTTGATGATTGCATTTTCAGATATAGTGTTTTAAAGTTCATTTTTGAGCAGTAAAAACATGAGAGAGAGAGAGAGGGGGGGGGGGGATTGGTTTGTTATTTGTTGAAAGAAAAAGGCTGTTAGCCATGAAAATTGTTGTGGGGGGTATTATCAGCAAGTTTTTGTACATGAGTGTTTCTCCTACTGCATATCATAGTACCCTTAAAAATTCCAATTCAATATATATAAGCATTTCCTGTCCTGTTATGTTTTTCTTATATTTACTATAGACTTTGCTCCTCGGCAAACGGACCCACCAACGGAAAACGAGTATAAATTTTTTGATCAATAAGCACAGAATGAAGAAGTGTTGTCTGGCACTTTGAATTTGAAAAGGAATAATAGAAAAATTGTAAAAGAAGAGAAAAGATTTGACAGTCCAAACACTAGACTGCTTTGCTTTTCTCATCTCCCAAAGAAACTCTCCTTTTTATGGTCGCCCCTCTCGTTTTTCCCCAATAACAGCTGCTGCTTCTTCTAGTTTCAACTTTGAATTCTTGATCAGCTTAATTTTCCCCAATAACAGCTTCTTCTTCTAGTTTCAACTTTGAATTCTTGATCAGAAAAAAGGGCCATTGTTATGGATCTCAAAAGCTCCTCCAAGTACCCGTCTTCTCATGGGGTAACACCACCAAATATTTCATGTTCAAACAAAAATTCAAAGGTTTTTGGTGATTTACAGGAACATGGAGTGAAAAAAGAGAAGCCATTTTTGGCTGGATCTCTTAATCTCAAGGAAACCTCTAACAAGAGGAATGCTCCACCTACACCAGGTCGACCCCTCTTCAGCTTCAGTAATGTGTCGAGAAAAAACTCAAAATGGAATGATGCTGAAAAATGGCTTATTTCTGATCTTCATACCAAAAAATCTAGTTACGGATTTGTGATTAAACAACATCATCACACAAAATTGAAACCTGCAGCAGAGGAAAAGGTTCAAAAAGCAGTTTCAATCCATCATAACTCGCCCAGACCTTTCAATGGGATTTCAGACTCACTTGATGTCCTAAAAGGTGGATACCCTTGTTCATTTAATTGTGTCTTTTTATTGCCATTATCCTTGCTTTTCGTCTTTTAGAATATTGAAAGGCTGTTTGATAATTCCAACCTTTTTGGTTAAATTCTTGAAAAGAAAAAGGTGTTAAAATTGATTGCAGATAAATTCACAAATGAGGTACAACCCAATTTTGAATGTTCAGAGCCATTGAGCGAAAGCAGAGATCCATCCATGGTAAAAAGCAGAGATCCATTCATGGTAAAAAGCAGAGACATTGGGACCGAAATGACTCCACTTGGCAGTTCCACCACTTCAAGATGCTCCACTCCATTCAAAAACTTCTCTCCACCACGCCACAACACCCCTGCAACTAGGTCAGGACCCGACCCAGGCCATTTATTAGCTAAGCTAAGGCTAGAGACTTGTGTTATCCCTAATTGGACCTCCACGGAGGAGGAAGAAGAGGATATCTCCAAGAGCCTCAGACACTTTGAGATGACCAATGAATGTCCAAAAAGCATTTCAGAACCTACAGCTTCTGCTTGGGAAGAAGAAGACAAAACCAAGTGCTGTCTAAGGTTAATTCCCTATACCCAAAATGTCATTAATTGCCATTGCCAGGTAGCTAAGTTTAGGTATAAATGCTGCTTTTAATTTATTATCTAGGTACCAAAGAGAAGCAGCAAAAATTCAAGCTTGGGTGGACCTCCAAAATGCTAAAGCAGAAGCTCAATCAAGAAAGCTTGAGGTAGAAAGAAACCTTCTTTTTCCCATTAATTGCAATTCTTGATTATACCATCCCTTTCTAAGAAATTAAAAACGTTATAATTTACACGCACACACACACACACACACGCACACACACACACACATATATATATTGTCTGATTTTTTTTTTAGTAGCCAATATTTTTTATGATGGTGGTGTGCTTTCTGCTACATCAGCCTTGTCTCTTCCCTTCAAATTGTTTTGGTCCCAACTCCCAAGTGGATACAGCAAAAGTTTAAAATATACTAAACCTCATTCATAATGAAGGAATGCCTTCAACCTAATTTTGTTGTTATCTTCTTGTTAAAAAGCAATAGTTTGATGTATTGTACTAAAAAGGTACAGCCAAATAACTGATTCTATGTTCAAAGATGGCAACTCACCAAGCCATGTGAAGCTACTTGAGATTTGAGCTTCAACATGTATCCCAATCAATTAAACAAAAGCTGCATGGAAAGAATAAATTTTGATTTAAGATTATATTTGTAGGTGAAGATTCAAAAGATGAGATCAAACTTTGAGGGGAAGGTGATGCAAAAAATGGCAGTTGTTCATAGAAAAGCAGAGGAACTAAGAGCAGCAGCGCAGCTTCAACACAGTGAACAAATTCAGAAAGCAACGGAGCAAGCAAAGAAGACGATGAACCAACACCTAAGCATGCATTTTAGTGGTCACAGCAGCTCATGTGGTTGCTTTCCTTGCAACAATCTTCATTCTTCATAGCTTACTGATTAATGTAATTGCTTACACAGAGATAGCCAATTAAAAATGATGAATGTAATTGCTTACTTGGAAGGAAGCCGAACTTAACACAAGTTGAAACATTTGTTATTATACAACGAATTTACTAAATGACTATGATCATAAGATGGAGTTTTAGCATGTACAACCATGATATCAGGAACCAATATTATTTAGATATCAAGACTTGGGACCCAAAGGTTCATTACCCATCTCTTGAACCACCTGTTATTACAAAATTACTACATTCATGCACACTTAATTAATTTCCCTTAGCTAGGTAGGGAGCATTATATGTTCTTGTTTTATTGTTAATTCTTATATATGTGTATATAGATGATGATTTCCATTTGGATTTGGTTAGGTTAGCAGTAATATATATTACAAACCAGGCCAGAAAGGGAAACCGGTGGATAGCAACCAATTCCAAGCATTAATGAAGGTTGTCGTAGTAAAAGGTATGGCCTCGCTACGACTCTTAATCACACCCCAACCCTTCCATCCCACCCTCTTAGACGTATCTGCACCAGGTCCTATGTTTCGGTATTCTCGATAATATAATGTTTCTAGTGCAAAATCTCCTTCCCAAGGGGACCATCCTGCAGGCTTTATCACCTCATCAATTAAAGATCGCATCACCACCGTTCTTGAATACTCCTTCCATGGCCTTCCAAGATACGTAGAAAAATTGGCTTGAACAGGTTTCAGGTCGGATGTCGCACCGATTTTGCATTTTTGAATCACAATGCCCGTGTTTTGGTTAGGATCGGTTCTTCCTTGAGCAGTGATCATATTCCCTTGCCCAGGATTGGGGCGACGGGCCTGGATGTCACAGAATTGGAAGATGACGGCAGCATTGCCAAAAATGAAATCAACTGTACCCACCACCTGGCAGTTGACATAGAATTGACGGTTGGAGTGGACATAAAGGGTGTCTTGGTAGCCTAGCATAGAACATCGATAAAATGCAGATAAATCAGATGCAACTAGTAGTGCCACGGCTTGACTCCCTGATGGTCCCGCTGTGTTTTGAAATGTTATATCTTTTGCCAAGAATCCATCACCCAGAGCAGCTGCATATATATATATATATATATATATATATATCAAGATGAATCATCTTATAACTATGTACATGTAATTTAATCCATCACCCATGATCATATATATGTATATATATACTAATTAAAAATATTAAAAAAGTTAGCTCACCTACGGTTGCAGATTTGGTGGTTGTGCTGCCCCCAGCCACGCTCTTGTTTCCCGTAATAATGGTGGTACTTCTTCCATCCCCGATAAGCATTATATTGGTTTTCTTTTTTGGAATTTCAATGTACTCATTGTACACGCCTGCCCCTATCTTTATTATGTACCTGCTCTTGCTTCCCAATGGGGCTGCTGCAACTGCTGCCTCTACCGTTGTATAGTTTCCATGACCATCTTTGGCCACAAACACATTTGGCGTCACTACTGACCACCATAACAGTTTCCTATCTCTTGCAGACAACCACTGGGGCCACAAGTCCACCTCCTTTAACTTTCTTCTTCTTCTTCTTCTTGTTGTTGTTCCTAGAATATTATTCAGCTGGTTTGCGTGCATCATATCTGTATCGGTCATGTTGTTGATCATAGCAAGCACGTTGCTACACATCTTTCCCCCGTGGTCCAGCTGGGGTTGGATGATTGATTTGGCAAAGGGTTTATCATGGGAGAAGCCATCCAAGCATGTTTCCTTATTGGTGATGGTGGTGCTGATGAGGGTTTTGAGGTGGTCGACGTGTTGCCTAATTAGAGAATATTTGTTAGTTGGATTATAGGTGGCTAGGTATTGCATGACGGTGTCAAGTGCTTCTAGTGTCCGAAGTAACATGTCTAAGCAGTCATGAAGAGCTATTTTGGTGCGTTTTGTAGTGGTGGGGGTGAGGAGGTTGTTTATGGCGTGGAAGTTGTTTTGGATGATGTCCTTTGTTTTATTGATGGTGAGTTGGATGATGTCTTTTTTAGTTGCTAGGAAGGAGGAGGAGGAGAGGGTGGAGTAACATATTTGTGGGTATAAGGTGGTGGTGCAGCAGGATTCGATGAGGCGGCCATGTCCATGTCCATATCCATGCGATGAAGATGATGGTGGTGAAAAAGAAGAAGAAGAAGAAATAGCAGCAAAAAGGAAGGAAACAACTAGTAGTGAGATCTTGTTTTTGTTGTTCATCATCATCCCAGTAACCATTTGTTAGTTTTATAAGAGCTATATATATATATATATATATATATATATATATATATATATATAGTTTGGATTTGGATGAAAGATACTCATATTCATATATTTATGATGTTGTGTTTGTTTTTAGTTAATTAATGAATTTTACATCTGTACGTTTGGTTTATTAATCAGGCCCACATATTTTTTGCTCCGAACATGCACTTTTCAAATGTTCTTTTTTCTTTTACGTAAACACATTAAGAAAAAGACAAATTATAAATTATAATAAAACATTTTTAAGATGTAAAATGTTTAATTTACAGAAATATATAGGTCACTTTGAATATATATTTTCTCCTACACTTGCCTGCCTCTGCATCTTTCTTTTAAATTTTACTTCACAAACTTTTCTTCTATTGGTCATAAATTAAATATATATTTTAAAATTAGGATGAATAATACATATATAAATTTATATATATATATATGTTTTTGACATAGATAAAAAGGAATGAGTTTAAAAATTAGAATGATACATATATATATATATATATATATTTTAGTAGTTGTTTAAGTTCGATCTTAATAATTTGTTGATGACAATGAGTTTGGACCCCAACTGTCCAACACGAGTCACGTTCCATCCGATCCACACGATACTCCCTCCCAAGATCTAATTAACAAAGTTCGGTTTTAGTAAATCAATTTCATTCTAATTGACAAAAAAATTATAAGGAAACTTGACCTAATTAACTAACCCAAACCCCTATGCCTATTCCAATTCATGGTGGCTTTTGTGTTTTAATTAATTAAACTTGAATGATCACTAGCTACTTTATAACTTTGAAATAATTAATATTGGTTTCATTATATTAAAATGAAAAACCATGGTTTTGTTTATCACCACTGTTCTTGGATCTCCTTTGGAAAACTTGCCTCAACTGGCACCGATATGCATGATTGTGCATGACGATGCCCGTGTTTTGGTTAGGACCGCTTCGTCCTTGAGCCGTGATCATATTATTTTGGCTTGGATGTCACAGTCTTGGAACACAACGGTAGCATTGGCCAAATATGACATCCACAGTGCCAACGACCATGCAGTCCACCAAGAATTGACGATTGGAATGGACGTAAAGGGTATCTTGAAATGCAGATAAGTCTGATCCAACACGTAGTGCCACAGCTTGATTCCCAGACATTATATCTCGTGCATCAACCATAGCGGCTGCATCCACTCAATTATATTATATAAGCAACCAATAACATTGATTAATGAATTAAGGTCATGTGTTAATTTGAGGATGTGCACGATTAATTAAATAGTAATTAAAGAGATCTATGATTATAAATATATGAAGTTAATTATATATATATAGTAATTAAGAAAAATGAAGTCTCTGCAACAATTTCCTGTCTCTAGTGGACAACCACTCCGGCCACTTGTCCTCCTTAATTTAACTTTTGTACCTTGATCTTGTTTGCCTGCTGCATCGTCGACATATAATCCGTGTACGTCAAGTTGTTAATCATAGCGAGTGTGTTGCTACACATCTTAATCTCCCCCATGATCGTGTCGTGGCCTGTGATAAGTGATTTGCATAGTCGCTTCCAGGGTGAATCATGGGAGAAGAGGTTTCCTTAGTTTTATTGATGGAGAGTAGGTTTTTAGTTGCGAAGGAGGAGCATGTGTTGGGGTATAAGGTGGTGGCACGGGATGATATGATGAGTGCATGGTTAATATTGTTACTACTAGTTCTTCCATCAACAAGCAGCAGCAGGAGGAGGAGGAGGGAATTAATAGCCAGCCAAAAACAATTAAATTCATCGCAACAAAACTTGTTTGATGGAGAAGAACCATGCATACATGTGTGTGTATATATATATATATATATATATATGAATTAAATTTATCCATGCTTAATTATGCATGAATTAGTAATAAGGGAATAGTACGTACTGCATGATGATGGGTCATGATATGATTTCCATGTACTTTTCAGTCTCTTCTTAGGTGTTACTTTTAGGATCTTGTAGGTGATCGATTTTCGTGTACTTTTCAATTATTTTTAGTGGATTTCATGATTTTTAAGTTTGATTTCCATGGATTTTTCAAGTTCGATTTTCATGGATTTTTCAATTTGTGTTTGATTTCCAAGGATTTGTTAATGTAAGTTCGAGTTTTGTTAAGGATCTTGTAGATGATCGATTTTTAAGGTTCTTTTCTATTGAGTTTTTTAGGAACCAAACTCTTGTTTTTAGGGTTCTTATGTGTTGAGTTTTTTACGTTTCTTTTGTTGGTATAAAAATCGGTTCAATGAAGGACAAATTTTGATGTTAGCACTATATATGATATGAAATTTGTTAAACAATGTCTATCTTTTGATTTTTGGATTATAACAGTGAATTTATATTTTCATGTTCAAATCATTTTTATTTTTAAGAAATATCATTTGCCTTAAAAAAATAAACCATAATTTATCAAATAACACATAATTCATACACGGGTAAATCGGTCATTTTTATCAATCGAACTGTTGATTTAGATAAAAAAAAAAAAGTAAACAGTAGCACCAATTTATATAGACAGACAAATTTATCCTTAATAAAATTTTTGGTAAACAATCCTTAAATTACTTTTATGTCCTTATTTATTTTTAAAATTAATTATTTAAGGTATTACTCATAATAACCCTCATCTACTTTATGTTATCTTATTCAAGTTTACCAAGTTTTTTGTAACATTTCCCATTCTCGAGGGACACAAAGCTGTAAATAGAGGATTAACTGAGAAGAGTCTCTTATTTCAGCTCATTTGATCGATCCTTACGGGTCGTTTGGTTCACAGAATGTTTCTAGATGGAATGTAATATGTTAAATGGATTTCACTTTAAGGAATTGAAATGGAATGTTGTCACGTTTGACCATCTGTTTGGTTGGCATACATTGAAATGAAATATGTTAAGAAATTGAAATCTATCTGTTTGGTTTACAAAGGAATTGGAACGAAATAATGAAAAATGACAAAAATACTTTTCTTTGATAATTTTTTTATTTTTTTAATTATAAATAGTTATAAAATTTAAATTTAATTGGGTGAAATCAAAATCATTTAGCAGCTAGGGTTTTTTCATCTTCGTCATCAAGATCATTTAGCGGCTAGGGTTTTATACCATCTCAACTCATCTTCGTCATCAAGTTCTCATCGTCATCTTCACTTCAAATACATAGTCTCAAATCATCTTCATCGTCAACTTTTAATCGTCATCTTCAGTGTCAAATACTCGTAACCCACAGGAAGAAATCGTAAACAGAAAATCGTGAAGGAGTCTTCGATAAAACCAAAATAAACCAATTCATTTGAAGCCATAGAAGGAGTCTTTGACAAAATTATAAAGCTAAATCGTGAAGGAGTCCAGAGGAAGAAATTGATCGTGAATGAGTCCAGACTTCAATTCCAATCGATGAAGGAGGGTAACCAGAATAATTTGTCGATAAGAAAACAAGTTTACTACTACATTTCATGAACGAAATGGTTTCACAGTTTCATCAGTACACAAATCAACGTAATGCTAGATGAGACATTTGTCATTTTCAAGTTTTCGGTAGATGGATCCGTTTCAATCTGATTGTGAAATGGTTTCACTGTTTGCTAATTAAACAACATGTTCTTAACAATTATGAAATGATTTCTCTGTTGTTATGCACCCATTTCATCGACAAAGTTTTTGCAATCCGAACACGTTTCATAGTTTCATCAATAAACAAATCAACATAATGCTAGATAAGACATTTGTCATTTTCATGTTATTGGTAGATGGATTCGTTTCAATCTAATTATGAAATTGTTTCACTGTTTCGCTAATTACACAACATTTTCTTAACAATTATGAAATGATTTCATTTTCTTTATGCACCCATTTCATCGGCCAAAATGAAACAATTTCATCAATAATTGTTGATAAGAAAACAAGATTACGCAAGAATATTATATTATGCAACAAGTTCATCCCCAAAAGTTTCATAAAACAAGCTCCTCAAAGAATGTTTTCACGAACCAATCTGCATACGTTTCGTAAAACAAGCTCATCGATGAACGTTTTCATGAACAAATCTAACATGAATCTGTTTCACAGCTGATTATATTTTTATCGGTTCATGAATCTTTAATAAATTTGGGTCGGTGGGATCGATAATGGGTTTGTTCCTTGAAGAGGATACGTGGCATGTGGACTCCTTTCTTTTCATGGCAAATTTCACGTCTTCTCAATCCCTTTGACCAGTCAACATACATTCACATTACATTGTTCCCTAGCTACCTTAGAATGTATTATCTATATCTATACTATTTTATTAAGCAAATTTAACTAAAATCTTAAAATACTAAATGACCAAGATACGTTAGGATCTGTTACTGATTTCGTGGATTAATGAATATAATAATTTTCGATTTTCATAGTTTTACCATTAATAAACCGAGAAACCAAATAACAATATTTAATTTTTAAAATACTAATTTAAATAAGCATTTAAATATTACCATTTCTAAAATTTTCTTTATTATGTTACCTTAATTAAGATATCTTAATAACTTCCATATTTAATCGAAAACAATGTAAATGACAATTCTATCCTTATGATTAATTTTAATTAAAAAAAAGGAATTTTCTTATTGGTTTTCGACGGTTTCTAAGAATTAAACGATTTTCATTTGATCCCCTCTCTCTCTCTCTCTATAGATAGATAGATAGATAGATAGATACGGCAGGTGGAGAAGTTGATGGAAGTATAAAGCCCAGAAAATGATGGTAAGTTGTATAACTTGTGGCTTGTGATGGTTCTAAGCAATGAATTAAGCAAGTAGATCTGGATTGTAGAATAATAACCATCAAAGTCTATTCAACAATTTTACGTTTGATGTTGCAATACACAAATGTCAAAAGCTCTCAAAAACACTACTCTTCTGCAATTCAGAGAAGCCAAACTAACAACAATTATATCCAAGGTTGTCTGTAAGCAAATATTTTGACTAATTACATCCAAGGTTGTAACTATATATATATATATGGACAAATTAAATTAAAAATAAACAAATTAGTAAGCAAGCAAGTGATGATGATGACTACTAATGGTGTGTTTGTTCAACATTAATTGTTATTCACAATGCTAGGGCTAAAAGGATTGAACCTTCTGCTGCTGCTGCTTAAAATTCTCCTTAAGGATTGCATTCGAGACAAAACTGGGGTTTTCTCATCTTCACTTGTAACTTGGCTACTTGGTATATCAATTACTAAATCTGGCTTGGCTCTATCATTATTTGTCTGTGATGATGAAGATGTTGCTTCATTAGGAAGAGCTTGATGTTGGGTTTCTTCGAGTTGAGAAGTCAAAGTGCTGACTTGGGTTTCGTCTCCCCAAAACAACATATTTGTTGGGAAATCCCCTCTACTTGATTGTTCTTCCAGTAAACTCTCCACCGAAATCTTGTCGGTTTGCTCTGAAACAAGGTTTCTACATATGGGACAAGTTGAATGGGAATGGAACCACATATCAATGCATTCCACATGAAACGCGTGATTGCATTTAGGCAAAATTCGAGTTTTTTCTCCTTCCTGGAGCTCAGATAAACAAACCGCACATTCCAATCCGTCTTTCGAATCCAAGTGTACGATGGGTATGGTTTTGAGGAAGGATGCATCAAGGCCACGTCGCAGGACAGTGACGCCAGAGTGGTGTTGATCTTGGTGACGGCGGTTATTGAGGCCATCCATACTTTGTTGACGGCGGTGCCATAACCACTTGGCGTAGAGGTGGAAGCAGAAAACGAGGAGGAGGAGGAGGAACAAGGCAACGATGGTGGCAATCAAGACTTTTCCGGTGAGCTCCATGACACTTGGATCGTCCAATTTCTGGGCAGGCATATCTTTAATATTTTATATTATATAAGAAAAGTTTAAGGAAGCCAAGAAATGGAATCAAGAGGAATTGAAGAAAGAGAGAGTAGGGGGGGGTTGATTAAATATGTGAAGGAAGATGGGATGAAAACGGAAAGAAAAGAAAAAGGGAAGAAGGGGCGGCGTTTTCGGTTGCCAAAGACGAAGGACTCAACCATCAGTTTGACTATTGACGGATTCCCAACAAACAAACGATAACTACTTATTCAGTTGCATAATAACACAACTACGACGACTTGAATGCTTTCTAATTAACCACTGGGTCATGATGATTGAATAAATATTAATTTGACTTTTTTGTATTGAATAAAATAAAAATCTATGGAATTTGTGATGAGCAGCCACCAAGTATCTAGAATAATGACTTTTAAAAAATTTAGATTTTCTTTGATGGAATATAATCATTTCCATCTCCCATGCATAAGTGTGTATGCATTGAATTAGGTTATGAGCACAAATTATAAAAACCAATTGGGACTACTTTCAACCTTTCTGAGAGGGCGTGCGCACACACACATATACATACATATATACATATATATATATATATATATGTCTATAAAATAAATAATAAATAAAAAAACTGGAAATGAGAACCAAAGCAATGCTTCCAACTTGTCTATTGTTTTCCTATATGCAATTATTTAAAAAAAAAAAAACCACTTTTCAAGAATCAAACAAAATACATATATTCCTAAGAATCTTGGTTGGCAGAGCGCAAAGACGAACCCTGTTCGATACCAACAGTTCTCTTGCTCATGTTTGCCCTCTGCACCAGTCGAACCAATGCCTGAACCACTTCCGACATGGGGGGCCGAAACTCTGGCTCCGCCTGCAGTAACACATGTCTTAGATTACAGCAATTTCACACCACATAATACTATTAACAACAACAAGAAGATAAGAAAACATTACCTGTACACATAGAGCAATTACATCTGCAAATCGAGAAAGAGATTTGACAGGATACAGTCCTTTAAGTGCTGGATCAACCATCTTCCCAAGAGCATCAATGTCATGAAGCTGAGGTATCGCCCATTGCACCAAACACTGCTCTGCCCTTGTCCTTGACCTGTACTATCCCACCTTCAATAATTTATGTATTTTGCTATATTATTTTTATTATTATTGACGGTTACTTACCTATCAAATGGTTTTCTTCCAGTAACTAGTTCCAACATGGTGACACCGAAACCGTAGACGTCACTCTTAATCGTGTACTGACCAGACATGGAAACCTCTGGGGCACTGACACTGTATCCAGAACCAACATTCTCATCCATTGCCTGCAAAGATCAACCCTAAGTCAGCTAAAAGAAGGAATTTTAACTTTAAACTAATAGCAACCGGCCTAGACTTCTACCTGATCTGCATCTGGGACAAGGCTCGCTAACCCAGAGTCAGAAAGATGAGGATTTAGCTCCGAGTCTAGCAAGATATTGGTCGATTTAATATTCTTATGAACAACAGATGGCAAGCATACTTCATGTAGATATCTGAGAGAGAAGATGACATCAGTCTTACTAAACAGAGGAGCAGAACCTGTTGCTTCATTTTGGTTAAATCAATTACATGTAGAGCCATTTTTAAGAAACTACTCGTAAGATCTCAACTCATTTTCACTTACTCCAATGCACGTGCTGTCCCTAAAGCAATTTTCACACGGCTATTCCATATTAATGGCTTGCTGTATTCATCCGAGAGATGCAAGAAATCATACAGAGAGCCATTTTTAAGAAACTCATGAACCAGGAGGTGCTGTCCATGCTCGGAGCAGTAGCCAACAAGCTCAGTTACATTAGGATGGCGCAATCGCGATACGTCTGAAACTATATCAATGAAATCTTCTGACAAGCGGCCAGGGAGAGCAGATGCCTTTATTTTCTTAACAGCAAGAACCTACAAACAATACCATAAAAGGCAAGGAAGTGACTAGCCCATCGCAAAAGAATGATTTGGGAAATCTAGTATTTCAAATATGAAGTGATTGAACTTTTCTACACCAAGAGCTTTACTTTACAGAATTTCAGAAAAGCAAACAATGGCATGTCATTATTGCCTGGATGATAGAAGAAGAAGTTATACCTTTCCATCTTCAAATTTTGCACGGAAAACACGCCCGATAGATCCTTCACCAATGAGGTTCTCAGCACTAAAGCTATCTGTAGCTATTTGAAGATCAGCTACTGAGTATGACATGGCATCTGGTGGAACTACACTTACTTTCTTGGGAACAATGGGCTTTGCTGAGAAATCATTGTCATCGAATGATTTGTAATTACCCATGGGTGGTGGTTTCAGATATATAGCTGCCGGAGTTTCAAATGTTTTTGTGTCGACCATGGAAACAGGCTTCATTTCTACAAGAACGATGCAATACGCATGTAGATATATTTGAGAAAATAGCAGAAGCAAAAAAGCATCTATGAGTAACACTAGAGTTATGTACTGTGAGAGAAGCAATGGGGCTAGACCGACAGCCCACCACTGGAACTTGCTTTGCTCTCGCTCGGCTCAGGAGGGTATGAAAATGAAAATTAGATTTTCAAGGTTTTACACACAACCAAGATGGAATTTGTGCAAATAAGAGTGTAACAAAATAGAAAAATCTATGGTAAAATAATAAAATAGTAAATCACTTTCGCTAACTACAAGAAAGCAAGACTTTTGAAGTTAAAAATGATATGTTCAGCAGGGCAACTACGCTAATAAGTCCACAAGAAGATGCTCCACTGTTTGTCAGGGCAACAGTATTCATATAACATTGAGCTCTTAAAAGAATCCATGTACATGGAGTGGTTGGTACCTTCAACTGCCTGTGGCTCTGAAGTAACAGGAGCAAAAGACCGATCTTCAGTCTTTTCTATATCTGTAGATGACTTTTTGGATCTTTTCTTCAACAAAAAGAATGCAATAAATGCACCAACAACCAAAATGGATATCACAATTCCTGCTATAGCTCCACCACTGACACCAGATTTCTTTCCAGCACCACTAGTATTGACTGAAGATGGGGTATTGCCACTTGGTTGGCGATTTTCACTCCCCCCTCCAGCTGCAGGTGTACCAGGTGCAATCCCTGAGTTCCATGAGTTACCATCCATTCTGGCACAAAATAATCACTTAATGTTCAAAATGATTCTCCTTTTCTGTACAATACAGATGGCTTAAGAGTCATATGCTTACTGCAGATTTATGTTTTTCAACTGGCTAGGAACCCAACCAGTAAATCTGTTATTGGCAATGTTCCTGAAACATGATCCGAAAAATAAGAGTAAATAACCAAACATGTGTTTTCTACAGAAACCAAAAGAAACTCACAGATTTTTAAGGGGAAGATTGGCAAGGACATCAATAGAGCCTGTAAACTGGTTGTTCTCCAAATACCTACAAAGCATGAAGGATAACTGAATGAGCTCTTGACTGCCACGCGGTCAGACTACAGATTAATATACTTACATATCAGTTGCACTGGATAGTAAGCTGAAGCTCTTAGGAAGGTCACCCGCAAAAGAATTGAAAGATAGATCCCTGAAGCATATAAAATTACTAACTGCCTTAGTTCTTTCACCTCACATGCACACATAAAGCATATAATATAGTTTAAGAATTTCTTAGGTAAATAGTTGCAGGCTAAACAGAAAGGGCATTCAAGTCGGGAGGAAGGTCTTACAGAGTAGATAGAGCTGAAAGTTGCCCAAACATATCAGGCAATTGGCCACTAATTTGATTGCGGGCAACATTTCTATCCAAAAAAAAAAAAGATAAACATCAATATTTGTGCAACAATTAAATCAAAAGGGAGGAATAAAGAGGTTGGCTCACAAGTATTTTAGAGAAGTCATTTGTGATATAGAATACGGAAGGTTGCCACTATATCCACATCCAGCAAGATTTCTGCATTACAAGACAGGTTATATGAGAAATGTGACAAAAACCAATCAGGAGAAAGTGGATGATGTTAAGATAAAGAGTATACAATCTTTGCAAGTTCGGAGGAAGGTTATAGGGTATCTGATTGCCAAGATAATTGTTGCTTACATCACTGCAACACCACATGAAACCATGTCAGGCTTATATATGTGACTAGACAAAAGAAGCCATAAAGAGATTGAAGAATGTCATTGCTCTTACAAGTCTGTCAATGATGTCAAACTTGTAAGTTGAAATCCTATTCCCCCGGAGAGCCCAAGACTGGATAGTTGGCTGATGAAAAACAAAATTGGACGATAGATGTCATGAGTTTTACATCAGATGATGACTTATACATTAAATGAACACATCAACGATGACTTATACATTTCTGTGACTCTGGAGCCCGAACAGGTAACACCTTTCCAGCTTTCTCCACAGGGATCACCACCGCTTGAGCTCCACTTGGTTAATTGTCCCGGAGAATTTAAATTTTGATACATGGCCATCAGAGCTGAGGCTGCATGCGAAACCCAAAACACTATATAAGATGACTATTGAATTGGAGTTGAAACACATAACTAGTTTTTTTTTCCCTGCTCATCCAGTTTTACTTGAACTATGTTAGAAGACATAAATCATAATACTTTCTTTATTTGGATTATCATCAAATTACAACACAGATCATAGGAAACCYTAAATACACACACAAAGGGTTGTACCCTTTGACACCAACCAACACACCCCTTTTCAAACGACACCCCTGTTTRCTAACAGGTGCAATAATTAACATAACTAACTATTYTAACTGTCAYAAAACTAACTTAACAGTTAAGTGTCTAACTTAATTTTAACATTCCCCCTTAAGTTAGACATGGAAGAACCTTTAAGCGATGCTTCATAATGTTAAACGATCCAAGCTGAAGAGCTTTCGTGAAATAATCTGCAAGCTGATCTCTTGAACCACAGAATTCAATTTTGACTTCTTCGTTGGAGACCAATTCCCTGATAAAATGAAACTTAATCCTGATGTGTTTACTTTTTCTGTGAAATACGGGATTCTTTGATAATACGATAGCAGATTTATTATCGCAAAAAATAGAAGTAGGACCGGACTGTGGATGATCCAATTCATGTAGAATACCTCGTAACCATATAGCCTGACAACCAGCAACAGAAAGGGACATGTATTCAGCTTCAGCTGATGATAAAGCCACGGTACCTTGTTTTTTTGATTGCCAGGACACTGCTCCGGAACCCAGATTGAAAATGTACCCTCCTGTATTTCTTCCATCATCTAGGTTCCCCCCAAAGTCACTATCACTGAATCCTATTAGCCTGAAGTTACTTGAATTGGAGTAGAAAATTCCATGGTTTAGAGTACCATTGACATATCGTAGTATCCTCTTCCCAGCCTCCCAATGGCTTACTTTGGGCAATTCCATAAATCTACTCAACATGCTTACAGAAAAGACCAAACCAGGTCTTGTGGCAGTCAAATACATTAGACTGCCAATTAGACTTCTGAATAAGGTACTGTCAACATTTTCTTCTCTACTTTCTTTGGATAGTTTAAGCCCAAAATCCATAGGAGTGGCAGCAGGTGTGGAATTTTCCATGTTAAATTTCTTTACTAAATTTTGAGCATACCTCTCTTGAAGGATTCTTATTCCATCTTCACTTTGTCTCACTTCTATGCCCAAAAAATAGTGCAAGAACCCCATATCAGTCATGTCAAATTCCTTCTTCATGTTGTCTTTGAAACCTTCGATTAATTCACTTGAATTTCCTGTAAATACGAGGTCATCAACATAGATGCAAACTATCAAGATCATACCTTGTTGCTTGTGAATGAACAAAGTGTGTTCTTGAGGACACTTTATGAAGTCATGTGTTAGAAAATAGTTTTCAATCCTGCTATACCACGCCCTTGGGGCCTGCTTTAGACCGTATAAGGCCTTCTTCAAGTGGCACACCTTGTATTCTTCTCCCTTTTTTATGTAGCCTTCAGGTTGTTCTATATAAACATCTTCTTTAAGGATACCATTGAGAAAAGCTGATTTTACATCCATTTGATGTACCATCCACCTGTTATGAGCAGCCATAGCCAATACTAATCTCACTGTTTCCATTCTGATAACTGGTGCAAACACTTCTTGATAATCAATTCCCAGCTTTTGCTTGTAACCTTTTACAACCAATCTTGCCTTGAATCTATCCACTTCACCTTTTTCATTTAATTTAGTTTTGTATACCCACTTAACTCCAATGGCCTTGCATCCTTTTGGAAGATCTACTAATTCCCATGTGTTATTCCTTAAGATGGCCTCTATCTCACTGTCCATGGCCTCTCTCCACTTTTTGTCATTCCAAGCCTCTTGGAATGATACTGGATCAGCATCAGCAAAAAGAACAAAGTCTATGTTCTCATTGAATTCCAGACTTCTAGGGTCATTGTAGATATCCACAAGGCTTCTATACCCTCTTCTGGGTGGACTGTCAGTAGAGGTAGCTTGTGAACTTGAATTTCCAAAAATTTGAGAAGCTATAGGTGTTATAGGGGGTTCTAGATGGGAGTTAGGGTCATCATCACTTTGGTTTTGTTGAATATCCTTTGGTCCTTCTTCAATTATTGTAACCGATGGATTATGTGTTTCCCTACTCTCACCATTTGATGTGATGTTCCATTCTTTGTCCTCCTCAAAGACAACATCCCTACTAACTATGGTTTTTTAAGTGATAGGATTGTACAATTTATAGGCTTTAGACTTATTGCTATAACCAATAAAGATGGTTTTTTCAGACCTATCATCTAATTTGCTTCTCCTTTGTTCAGGGATAAAAGAGTATGCCAAGCATCCAAAGGTTCTTAGATGACCAACTGTGGGTTTATAACCAGTCCAAGCCTCTTGTGGTGTCACATCAGTAAGTCCTTTTGTTGTTGTCCTATTCATAAGATAACATGCACACGCCACTGCCTCTGCCCAAAAAGACTTATCTAAATGCTTGCTTTTGAGCATACTCCTTGCTTTTTCAATGATGGTCCTATTTAGTCTCTCAGCCACACCATTTTGTTGTGGTGTGTATCTAGTGGTCATTTGGTGATGAATGCCATTTGATTTTAAGAAATCAAGGAAATGAGTGGAGTTGTATTCCCCTCCACCATCAGACCTAAGAGTCTTGATTTTATGGCCACTTTGATTTTCAATATAGGTTTTAAAATTCTTAAAAACCTCAAAGACTTCAGATTTTTCTTTTAGGAAATAAACCCACAATTTCCTACTGAAATCATCTATGAAGGTTAGAAGATACCTGTTACCTCCAATAGATGTAGTCTTCATTGGACCACACACATCTGTGTGGATTAATTCCAAAGGTTTGGTTGCTCTCCATGCTCCTTGCTGTGGGAATGCCTCTCTTTTCTGCTTACCCATCATACACCCTTCACATATGTCCTGGACTTTTTGCAGACTTGGCATTCCTTTTACTAATTTGTGTCTTTGCATATAGCTCAAGTACCCAAGATTAGTATGCCCGAATCTGTGGTGCCAAAGCATAGACTGGTCTTTTGTAGACAGATTGAATGAGAGAACAACCCTTCCTCAATAAGATTTAGTGGGAACATTCGGTTTCCTGTCATGTTTATTCTTATCATGTAATTTCCATCTTGATCTTTCCATTCACAGGTTCCATTCTTAAAATGAAGATTGAAACCTTTCTGCACAAGTTGACCCACGCTGAGCAAATTATGTTTAAGGCCTGGGACGTAGTAGACATTTGTTATCTTTTTCTGGCCATTCTTTGTTTCAACTATAATATCTCCAATTCCATTCACACTTAATGTCCTATCATCACCCGTTCTTACTTCCCTTCTCTGACTTTCATCTATGTGAACAAAAATATTTTTATTTCCTGACATGTGGTTGCTGCAGCCACTATCAATATACCAGTTGTTCATGAAGGTTTCCTGTGTATTTAGGATCATAAATATGCCTTCCTCATCATCTTCCATATTTGCAAAATTGTTATCCCTCTCCTCTGTTATTCGTTTTCTGCAGAACTTGGCTATATGCCCAAACTTTTTACAATGAAAACACTGCACTGGGTTTTCTTGTCTGTTTCTGTATTTCCCTCGAAAATCCCTTTGCTGATCTTTTCCAAAATTTCTGTTTCTGTCTTGGTTTGGTGAAGACTGCAGTTGAAATGCTTGTTCGTATGGATTTGTGTCGCCTCATCCTAAGTTCATGAGATTGTAAAGTTCCAAACAAACTCTCTAAGGATGTGTTGAAAGGTCTTTTGATTCTTCAATTGCGACTACAACGTATTCGAATTTTCTGGTCAGGCTTCTGAGGATTTTTTCGATTACCCTTGTATCTTCTATGATTTCCCCGTTTATTCTGAGTTGATTCAACAGAAATATGACTCTGTTGTAAAATTCTTCTATCGTTTCTGAGTCCTTCATTTTTAGTCCATTGAATTCACATCTGAGGGTTTGTAATCTTACAACCCTTACTTTATCTTCCCCACGATATGTTCTATGTAGGATGTCCCATGCATCTTTTGACGAGGTTGTGTATGATATCCGTTCAAAGATGATTTCATCAACCGCCTGAAATATTGTATAAAGAACCTTCTTGTCTTTCTTTCTTAGATCCCTTAATTCTTCTTCCTGTTCATGGGTGAGTTCATCGATTTCTTCAGGTTCATCGAAACCCTGCTCCACAATATCCCATAATTCTAAGGATTCAAACAGAACTCTCATCTGGATGTTCCAGTGATGATAATTTTTCCCACTTAATTTGGGAAGCTGTGGATGTAAAAGTGCGTTCGAAATGGAAGCCATCGACTGTGCTCTGATACCACAATGTTAGAAGACATAAATCATAATACTTTCTTTATTTGGATTATCATCAAATTACAACACAGATCATAGGAAACCYTAAATACACACACAAAGGGTTGTACCCTTTGACACCAACCAACACACCCCTTTTCAAACGACACCCCTGTTTACTAACAGGTGCAATAATTAACATAACTAACTATTTTAACTGTCAYAAAACTAACTTAACAGTTAAGTGTCTAACTTAATTTTAACAAACTAGAGGGAGATATCTATTGTGAATTTTAAGTAGACTAGCATTTTAACTTTTGGTGTTGAAGTGTATTTGGAGGGAAGGTGTGTGAATTGCTAATCAAATTTGATGTATGTGACACTGGCTCTGTCTCGCACCTTCCCTTTTTAAGTAAGAACAAAATTTTAATGTTCTTGTATGAAGTGATGACATAAGTGTGTGAATAGAAACTTGAGTCCAAATTTCAAATCAGATGTATAATAAATCAGAAAACTTAAGGTTTGATCTGTTAAGATGTAAGTAGTTTCCCCTAGCATTAACTCATATATGTTGGTAACTGGGGCTTATAGTAGCAAAACCTTAGGTGTTGAGAGGAAAAGTGTGTTCCTTTAAACTAGAGCCAAAATCACGGAAACCATTGACGGAAAATTAGACAAAGAATTTGATGGAATGTCGAGAAAGAAAAAAAACCCAGATAAAAAAAAAGATTGAAAAAAACTAACCATCGGATGGATCTGTGTCGGCGTTGATGGAGTTTGGAAGAAGAAGAAGAAGAAAGATGAAGAGTAATGTCGCCATTAGGTAACTTTATCCCTAATTCATAATACGTTAGTGTCTGTCTGTACTGAATGAATAGAAGTAGAAGTAGAAGTAGCAGTAGAAGTAGCAGTAGCAGTAGGAGGGGGAGAGGTGTTTAATAAAGAATTTTGTAAAGTGTTATATTGTTGTTTTGGGTGAGGGAGGGGAAAAGGAACGCTGGTTCAAGAATCTAAAGCCACAGAGAAAAGCAAAGCTGGTAGGGAGGTTCAAGAATCTAAAGCCACAGAAATAGTCTCCGTCCCTCCCTCTGGCCTCTAAATATATGCACACACTTGACTTGATTCGGTCTCTCTCACCACATGCATCCTAACCAACGGAACGACCATATATCTATTTTACAACAACACACCATAAAATATGCAATATTTCTTCAATATTTGAATCTTTTTCAAAACAGTAATTTGAATATTTTCAAACCATACACATCTTTTTTTGCTTCTACTTAAACAAAAACCCTTGATTCAGATCAAAATGAGTTATTATTTAAAAAAAAATTATATAAAAACAAGTACAAATTTTAAAAGTACAATTTGTACTTGTATTCACTCCAATACCTTATACAAACAGGTCCAAATACAAAAACTTGATTTATCATTATGTCTCGATGAACAAGTTTAGATTTTTTTTAATTTACACGCAAAGTAAAAGAATGAGTGTGTATAAATTTATTATTATTTTTTGTTTCACCAATCAAAGTCGTAATTTTTTTATCAATCTTGATCGTATGAAAATTTAAGATCATTTTTTTACTTCTCAAACGAACTTCTCCTTATGTGTATTATTTAAGGGAAGGAAGATACATGAGTCATCCATTATAATAATAATAATAATACTTATATATGCTCTTACTTCAATTATTATTATTATTTATATTCAATACCAATAACTTTATATTTTCATGTCATTGTTAATTACTTTTTTTTTTCTTGTAGAAAAGATAGAATACAACCACAAGGGTATTGCTTGATTGGTTCGAGCTTAACTCCAAACATAAAAAATATCAGGAGGTCTCATATTCAAATCCAAAGAGGAATAAAAATTTTCTTGTGGCCACGGAAGTCCAAATGCAGTAACTCCGAGCTATCTACAAAATTAATGATCGTCCTGAGATTAATCGACTTACATTACGGGTTAGATATTTCATAGTAATAAAAAAAATGAATACCTTTAGTTTAGCCCTTTTTATTTATTTTAACAAAATATATGGCAACGTGTCTTATTGAGGGTCCAGTCCACCTTCTTGATTGAGGTTTGATTGCAGATTCATCAAGTCCAAGACTTTTCCTATGTGGTTATAATAACATTATAAGTCACATCTCTTATGCTATTATTGTTTTTTTATTACATATTAAATTTTATTAAAAATAAGAAACTCCTATTTTTGTACGTATGTTAAAAAAACTAATCAATTCAACTCAAAAAAATTGATTGGAGGTAACCTAACAAGTATTTGATACAAATTAGGTCAAACCGTATCTAGTAAGTTGGAATCAGGTTAGGGTAATCTGAATCCAACCCAACCCGATGAACCTATCTCCTTACGAATTTGATTAAGTTTTCTTGATTAATATAATGTGTATTAGACGGTAGACCAACCTGTAAATAGTTGTATTTATAATTATATTACAATTTCAACCGTAGTTTTATTTTATTATTTCCATGAACTTTCAACTTTTTTCGATTTTGTTGGCCCTTTTTGTATATTTTCATTTTGATTTACTTCGTTTAAATAAGATGCTTAGCTAGACCACAGCCATTCCATGTCTTTTTCTTATCTTCTCTTCACGTTGTTGATTCATTCATATATCGTCTCCATTCTCTAGGCATTTACCATCATCTTTGTTGGAAGGAACATTGCTTTGAAACCCTAATGAAAACAAGATAAGAAAATTAATCACAGCCAAAAACATGGGCTTTAAATGAATGATCATGAACAACTAAATTTTATCTTAGGACATTGTGTTCCTGCAATTCAAGAATATGATCTTGATTTCACCAAATTAGCTGTGTTGGACTAGAAGATGTAACTTGTGTCATGCTATTTCAAAATTACCAATTCACAGATGAGTTTGAAAAGCTGTCTTTATTCACTAGTTGCAACTTGAAAAAGTTTAGAATTCAATGTGCCCCTTTATACATTTACACTACTGCACCATGTCATGGTAAAACAAAAAGAAATCCAGGAAAACAAATTTATATAACAAAAATGGAGATTGATGACTAATTACACATGCATTGGCAATTAAAATTTTCCATCATGTAAATTAAACCTTGTTTCTTCTTACTTATGTTGCCATCTGACCCTTGGAACTGATATTGTGGAGCCAATCGACCACTTCACTAATGGTTGGCCTCTTGACAGGATTCACGTTCACACACATGCAGGCAAGTCCTAGAACCTGCAGCATCTCTTGTTCAAACCCCTTGCCTCTCAAGAGAGGATCAAATACTTCAACCTGTTTCCCTTCTCTCATCAGCTGTTGCACCCACACCACCAATTCTCCAGACATTCTTGGCCTCACCAAGACTACTTCCATGGGCCTCTTTCCAGTAAGAAGCTCAAGCATGACAACCCCAAAGCTATATATATCCCCTCTCAAAGTGGCTACCCATGACTGGCTGTACTCTGGTGGAATATAGCCCAGGGTGCCAACCAATTCAGTGGTGACGTGTGTATTATATGGTTGAAGCAATCGGGCCAATCCAAAATCTCCTACATAGGCTTCAAATTGGGCATCCAGAAGGATGTTGCTGGATTTTATGTCACGATGCACGATATGAGGTTCACATATCTGGTGCATGTAAGACAGTCCGCAACTTGCTCCCTGTGTGATCTTCAGTCTAGTTGGCCAATCCAGCTTGGATGGTCCATCAGTCTTCTCATGCAACCAGTAGTCAAGGCTTCCATTTTCCATGTATGAATATATCAGCAAACGAAATCCATCATGCACACAGTAACCTTGTAAAGAAACCAGATTCTTGTGTTGGGCTGTGGATAGTGCCTCCACTTCTGCTTTAAATTCCCTCTCCATGAGGCCCATATCTCCTGAAAGTTTCTTGACAGCCACCTTGATTCCATTTGCCAAAGTTGCTCTGTAAACCAAACCAAAACCCCCACAACCAATGATATTTGCTTCACTGAAATCCTCGGTTGCTTTCAAGATTGCAGATACTGTGAGATCCTTGATATCTTTTGCTTGGTTTGGGAACAGTACGACTCCACTGGGAACCTCTGCAGCTGATGTAGAATTTAAGGATATGGATTTATCAGCATCCCCTCTAGGGAGAATCCTCCTCTTGGACAATATCCAGAGTGCTAGGCAAGCCAGAATGACGCCAACTCCAGAACAGAACCCAAGGATGAGACAGATGATGGCTTTCTTGTTTGGGCCTTTCTTATGTCCCGAAGGACCTGTATGAGATGATTGGTTGTCACAAGAACGGTGCATAGGTGGGCCACATAACCCTTGATTTCCTTCATAACTGATACTCAAGAAGGTGTCCAACTGGCCTCCAATCGGTATGGAACCTTGAAGATTGTTGTTTGCAACACTGAAAGAAGACAAGAAGTGTAAATTTTTTAGCGACACGGGGATCTCACCTGTAAGAAAGTTACAAGAGAGGTCCAGCCTTTCCAAGTTTGTGAGATTGGATATCTCATCGGGAATGCTGCCAGAAAACTTGTTTTTGCTGAGATCTAGGACGTGAATCGACTGCAAATGACCAATCTCAAGGGGGATGTTGCCACTAAGGTCGTTGCCTGATAGGTAAAAAGCTGGCGGAAGGTTGTCCAGCTGATTGTACTGCAAGCGGGAAGCATTTTCTGGCTGAACAAATACTGGCAATTCCAGATAACTAGTGTTTACGTGATCCAGTTCTTCCTGTGATCTTAGTGCTACAAGTCTAGTAAGTTGTACAGGGAAACCTCCCGAAAGAGAGTTCTGAGACAAGTCTAGATAAAAAAGGTTTGGAAGTGTCCCTAACCAACCTGGAATTGTGCCACTGATAGAATTCTGGGATAGGTCGATGACCTCCAGCATTTTCAGTGTACCCAGCCAGGTGGGGATCTGACCGAATAATTTGCAACCCCCTAGCCCTAAAATCTTAAGGTCACTGAATCCAACAATTCCTCGGTCGGGCAGTTTTTCGTTGAAGAAGTTCTTGGAGAGGATCAAAGTGGTGAGAGTGTTATGGCTGCTCAATATATTGAATGCTTTGGTGATGTTTGTGAGGGTATTATTCGAAATCGAGAGGAAGGACAAATATTGCAGTTGAAGAACGTGAGGCAAGAGTTCCCCTTGAAGGTTATTGGTGGCCAGTCGAATTGCAGTGAGTGATTTGCAAGAGAAAAGGGTTGGAGGCAGCACACCTGAGAAATGGTTGTTGCCCAGGTCAATTGTGAGGAGTTTGGTGAAATTGGAGAAATCAAAATCAGAGAGCTTGCCAACTAAAGAGTTAACCCTCAAATTCACTAGTTGCAGGTTTGTGCAATTGGTCAAGGATGGAGGCAGGGTTCCTGTGAGGTTGTTAATGTGAAGTTCCAGTTTCTCCAAGAAGGACAATTTTCCAATACCACGAGGCATGAAACCGGAAAATGAATTGGCAAACAAGACAAGGTTGGTGAGGTATGTTAGGTTAGTAATGGTTTCATCAATTGGTCCTATAAGACTATTTCCAGGTAAGGATAACTCGCGTAGTGAGCCAATACCATAAACATCAGGCGGAATGCGTCCAACAAGGTTGTTAAAACCCAAACTCAAAACCAGGAGGGTGGAGCAGGCACCCAAGCCTTGGGGTATATCTCCAGTTAAATCATTTAGAGAGAGATCAAGAAGAAGAAGTAAAGAGTTATTGCATATGGATGCAGGAATGGTGCCAGTGAAGCTGTTGTTGCTAATGTTAAGAGTGGTAAGATTATGGGGGATGGCAGTATGAATTGTGCCATTGAAATGATTGCTAGATAAATCGAGCGTTTGGAGGGTATGAGGCAGGGTGTGGGGTAATTGTCCGGTTAGCCTATTGTAGCTGAGGTCTATGACTTGAAGGCTGTTTAAGGATAAGAAAAGTCCATGAGGGAGAGGACCAAATAGGAAATTACAAGAGAGGTTGAGGAGAGAGAGATTAGTTAGATTAACAAGAGAAGAAGGGATGGGACCATGAAGGGCTCTAGCGGGTAGTGAGAGGTGAATGACACCCCGATGATCGCAAGAGACTCCGTCCCATGAGCAGCAGTCGCGGGCAAGAGACCAATTGAGTTGTGGGAAGTTGGTAGCAAAGGGCAAGAGAGAAGTGGAGTCACGTGGGTTACAAAAAGAGGTAGCTGCTGCTGGTGTAGTAATAAGATTGTTAAGATGTGGATTTGTAAGGATGAAAATGATGAAGAGATGAAGGAAAAAGCTGTTAGGTTTTGGCATGATGATGAAAAAAACAAGGATGGATGGATGATTGGTTTGATTTGGTTTTGTGAGAGGGAGGAGAATGGAGCATAAGTTGTTGTGATCCAATCCAATCCACTGGTCCTGGTTGGAGTAATTCAGAAGTGGGTTGTTGACGCGGAGCAATACCGAAAAGGGAAAAGAAAAGGAAGGAAGCCATTAGCCATTAGCATGGATGGTGATTGGTGAGTATGAAATGAATCAATGTATTACTTTTTGGGTGATGGTGTTGGTGGGTTCTCTTTTCTTCAGTACCTTGTTATTATTATCATCATATCATATCATATCATATCATATCATTCATCCTACTACTAATAATAAAATAATAATATGTTGACAGTAATTATATGTTGGTGTAAAGTAAGGTTGGATGTTGTAGAGTAGATATGTTAAATTAAAGTCTAAAGAGAGAGAGAGGTGACAAGTTGGTGTATTTAACAGGGGCCTTGTGTGTTTGGAATTGATGGTAATCAAAATAACTAGTTGGAAATTAGTGGTCAAGTATGGGAATGCCAATGTGAGATGACAATCAAACCTCTCCAAGAAAACCAAAAAAAAAAAAATAGTTTCTTGATCAAATATTCTTCAAGTTTAATGACCCAAACAAATTTTATTATTAGAATTCAATTCATGTAATTTAATTATATACTTCAATCACCACATAAATCTTGGCATTTCCAACTTTAAAAATGTTGGTGGAAATTTCTGATCTTATCATTTAAGAATTTGTAATGGAAAGCTTATTTGATTTTAGTAACATATAATAATTTGTTCATATAAAATTCTAGTCAAAAAGATGCTGCAGTCTGGTCAAAATAACCAAACCCTTGCATCAATCAGAAGAGGAAAGAGAAAACAGAATGTGCTGAAACCATTGATTGTATAATAAAAATAAACAAGTAGAATCAATGGATTGAAAAGAAAAGAAGTGAAGTTGTCTATAATTATTACTATTATTGTGTAGAATAGAAGGGAGTGGAGGATACAAATTAATGATACATGTACTTGAACAAGAATGAACTTCCTTTCAACAAGGCAAGGCAGGCACAGGCTTTATTTGATTGCCATGTCATGCCAACATCAATCAATCATTCATTCAACCAAAATCAAATGATTTTTCTACCCAAAACTACCTTCTGATCATGACAATGCTGATGACTGATGTTGATGCTCTCTCTTTGGATCAACATATGAACTTGCCTCACAAAATTACAACATTTAAACAATACACTTCCATTTCTGCTTGCCTCTTCACTTTTAGTCATCATCTGCATGCAAATACAACCACTTTTAATGTTAAACATTTATTCTTTTTTTACATACTCTCCTCTCCTCTCCTCCTTCACCTATAGATAAATTCTCCTAATCTCAATTCAGCATTTCCTTTTCTCAGGGTTTATGATACTCACCTGATTTATTATCCACGTGTACAAAGAAACTTGCAGCAACAATGAGATAGCACAGAATTAGCATCACCCCTTTGAAGTAATTTGATGTTCCTTCCTGCACACAACCAAACCATTACTTCTACAATACACCACTCACACTAACATGATAGATAGATAGATAGATAGATAAGTAGATAGATAGAGATACCTGCAGCATAAATGCTACGACTAACACTGTGATAAAGAGAGTAGCAGTCTCAAAAAGCTGAAAATTTAAGTCCATTTGCTGGCCCATGATCCAACCCACAACCACACAGAATGGGATCTRTTAAGCAGGAYGGASAAKMTTCCRTTAACTCTATCTACAAACTGCTATGCATAGTACAAGTAAAGCAAGAACTGGACAAGAATATTGGTCAGATCACCAGCAAAGTTGCTGCCCTTTCCCCAGTTTAACTTTCTACAAGTTACCACAAGCTCTTCCAAAGAGATGCCTAATAGCACACACAATAACAAAACCCAAAAGAACAAAAAAATAGATTCATTGTATTACCACAAACATTGATATCTGAGTTGATGATCCAATTGCTACTCCAAGTGTGATGTCCTATAAGTAAAAACATTAGACGATCAATCAACTAATCTCATACCTATTCACTTATGAATGGATTTAGCCTATACACTTACAAGCTTGTCTTTCATGGCAAACATTATGGCACTTGCATGCTCAGCAGCATTACCAACAATAGGAAGTAGGATTACACTAATAAAAGACACCGGCATATTCCATGAGTCTGATGCTCCCTGAAAGATTACATCAACATTCACCACAGTCAAGAAAATACCATACCATCACCAATAGTTTACCCAGGAATCCGTCATCAGCTGGCTTTTCCATTCAGAGATCAAGAACCCAAGAACAGGGAAGCCAGGCAATGGACGATTCCTTGCCACTTTTGGGCCCACATGAAATCATTTTCTTATTTTTATATAGAAGACTGATGGTTTGTATAACGTTCTGCTACATAGTAGTATAGACATCCTTGGCCAAACATTACCTGTATGGCATCGACGAGATATCCAGATAATACAGACACCCACAATGTTAAAATGGTAAGCCAAGCAATTGCTTCCCACATAGTAATCTCAGGGACCTCTTCTTCATCAGAATCATCCCCATTATTTTCTCTTTCCTGCATAACATGTCGGAGACTCATTCATACAAACTTACAAAGACATGCAGATGCAGTCTACTGAAAGAACAGGGAGATGCATCAGTTCCAAGAAACATGATATTTCATGTGTGTCAGCCAGATCAAGCTTGCATGCTGTATATTCTGGTGGAATAGACGGAGGGCATAACAAAAGAACCCAATAATATTTTTTTAGTAACATGAAAAAATTACAAGCACCAATTTTAAAATTTCCATAGTTCCACTGCAAGAAGAGTAATTTATCAATGGCTACTTTGTTTTAAGTCTTCTAGTTTATCTAATGACCAGTAGCTGATAAGTCCCTAGTTCAATGATTATCACACTGATCATTCAGTCAGAGTTGCAAGGGATTAAATTCATAATCATTCAGAGATTTGTGATGATTAATGGCAAGGAGATCAAGAGAAACAGAGGATTGATAGCACCCAGCAAAAAAGAAACTCATTCCAAACCACCCATCACTGGAAAAGGACATCTACTGGAGGAGCAAAAATTAAACTTTCTTCCGCAACAGACCACTTGTGAAATACGTGGTGAGATCCAATAAGCAAAGGCCCATATACAACTGGAATGTGGAACACATAAATACTATTACATCTCATACTGACGTCAACAGTCAGCACTTCTAAAATTAGATGGCCTACCTCATCAATGGAATCATACAGATTAGCATGACTTTTAAGCTGAAAGAAGWGATAGCTTGCATATGCCACCAACATTATGCAGCTGCTGAATCTTGAAAGTGCCAACTCTGACTTCCCAAAATGAACTTCTGTGTGTGTAAAATGAAGCACAGCTGGAAAGAGTATGCCCATTACAGCCATCAACAGCAGCCCTGAACTAACTATTGCAGCTGTCTGTAAAACATAATTAGACACAAATGAGGGATTCCATTTTTGCTTTTGCTGGATTTTTACATGGATATAGATTCAAGAATATCTCCACCATACCATGAGCATCTTTCCTAGAAAGAATCAAATTCAAAATGGTAATGACTTACCTGGTTGAAACGCTGAACTTTTGGATAATGCACAATGCCACCAGTAAAGAAAGCACAACCAAGCACTAACAACATATTTGATAAGATGGATCCTAACAATGATTGCTGAACAACCCTAATCATCCCATTCTTTAATGCATATATTGAAATAATCATTTCTGTCGCATTGCCAAATGTGGCATTTAAAAGCCCTCCAACTGCAGATCGAACCAAGAAATGCTGTTCAGTGATACATGCAACCAAAGGGCGATCACAGTCCCTATAATAAAATAGACATGCTTCGTGAAGCTACTTGGTGCCATATTCTTTTGCAATATCAGATCGAATGTATTGCAAGATGGTGTTTCTGTGAGCAGTGCAAATTTAGAGTTAGCTCATAAGGCATCAACAAGAATAAAGAACATCATAGAGACCTAATTATATGAGATTTAGGTTCACAACTCTACTCTAAACTTAAAAGCTAAGTGCATATTTAGGTTAGTTAATGATTGAAAGTCTGCCCTGTACTCCATCCATTTAGACAAATCAGATCATATGACAGCAGAAACGTTTTATGTTAAGGTTCCTGTGAATAATAAATCATGAAGATTGAATATTATTTACCTGTATTCCCTGTATAACATGCGAGCTGCCTGAACATAACAAACAAGAGTTGGAAATTACAGTTTATTCAAGAAGCAAGGAAATAGCACCAGGGAAGAGAAGAAATCCTTACTCAGTTGCATAACCCAGCCGTTCAGCTAAAGGTGTAATTCCCAGTAAGCTGAAAAAGAAGACCCATCCCTGAAGCAGAGAAGCAACCAAGAAAAGTAGAAAAGACATTAAGACCAAATTCTTCATTTTCCCATTTGAGGAGGAGAAGCCAAAAAGGTGACGGACAGATCCTTACATGCCGCCCAGTCAGGTAGTGTAGCAATACTGCTAGAGGTCCAAAAGGAAGCAACACATTGATCCTTGCTTTGAACAAGACAACATACACACTGTGGAAAGCGGTGAACTGTAACTTTCTGAGGACACGCAATTTGGGGACACTTGCATGAGATGTCTCGAACTGAAAAGATTGCTTTGCACCTGTGGATTGAGATAAAGTTAACGGGCTCTCCTCGTCAGATTCAAAATCGATTTTCTCTGGTGTTAATTCCATCTTATTAGATCCCATCTGCAAGGTTCGTAAACGCTGTAATTAACTGGACTGGCTACGACTCGGGCCCAAGCTTGTCAGAAATCATTCAAATGACCAAAGTACTCCATTTCGTCATATTCTGATTAATAAGAAAGCAGTAATACATATTACATAGGATAGAGTTTTGACTTGAAAGAATAATAAGATTGATGTCAAAAGTTCCTTGAACTCCAACATTTTCTGGGATTCCTTGGAGAAGAGAAGCTAAACAAATTCATCACGACAAGTTTTGTTTATCCAGCTAGCCCTTAATGAAATAATGCTAGGTTCATCACCTTAGTAGCTAAAGACTAGGTTGAGTTTATAAAATAAAAAATGTGTTGACTTGTTGACATATTAGATTCACTAAGCATCCATCTTACTATTAGCACTTGTTAGGAGGGCTGCAATCAATGGGATAGGGTAAACAGGTAAAGCTAGTCCGATGGCAAGGTCTCCATTCAGTTTCTACCAAGTTTTGAATTTCATATCCGAAAACAGTAGGCCAGATCTAGTGGGGTGGGAATCCTTAAAATCGAATTTACTTCATTTTACGTAACATACGTGTGCCCTGCATATTTAGGTCAATGACCGGCAAAGCAAATCTAATCATAAACGGATCCTAAATCATGGTACCATTGCCTATGTTATGGACATTGAGAGATATGTTATGTACACATTTGCATTCGAGTTGGGGGATAATCTTTAAGTATGAAAGGTGAATTTGTAAACTATAAACATATATGATACAAGTTGAAAGCAAAAGAATAGTGATGTTGAAAGAAAAAAGAAGAAATCTTGTTATGGTGAGACTAAATTAAGCGAAGTAGAAGTTGAGAAAAATGATATACCCAGAAGATTAGATGAGATCAAGGGAGACAGGCGAAGTAAGCAAACTGACCTTGACTAATCAAAGTGGAAGGTTGAAGATGGTAAAGTGGAGGAGGGGTTTAAAATATCATAAATGCAGAGGGAATCATATTCAGAGAGAAGTGAAATCTTGGTAAGAGGTAAATTAGGACAAGGGTTTGGAGGAGGAGGAGGAGGAGGAGGAGGGCGGAGATTGGTGAGGTGGGGGGGTTTCAAGTGTGTATGGATGGATGTAGGAGGAAGCTTCCTTCCGAGTTAAATTTATTTAAAAACTTGGAAGTATATATAAAATTGAAGTAGTATTGTAAAGACAGTAAAAGCTTTGGAGATTGGGATCAGATGGTCAACGGAATGGTTATACAAATTGTCACACGCTACACCGTGTCTTCGTGTCTCTGTCTTTCAATCTGTTCTATACATATATTAAAAGAAATTATATAAATAAACATTGGAGATGGTTTTTTAGAATTCATATGTTTTATATGAATTAAGTAAGTTATTCAAATAAACTGTCTTAAAGACATAAATAATCATATGTTTTTGTATTATATGATTCATAATCATCCCATCTTTTTTATTCCTTTATCATATATATATATATATAACCAAGTTTTTCTTATTGTATTTGTATACCACTTCACAGGGGGAATAGCACAGCGTATATAATTGGAAACATACAATATGCAAATTGATACGTCGGTAGGAAATATTTTGAATTCTTTAGAACCGTCTAAAATCCATATATAAAAATGATATTTTTTGACAGAAATTGCAGTTTAGTAGTGATATAAGCTTAATTGGAGAAAAGAAAGATAATGTGGATTTTTTTTAAGAAGCAATCATCAAGAAATTAAAAGAAGATGAAGTTATCCAAGTTTGCCTTTTATTACAACACAGGCGGATCATTCTATATTCTCGTAGTAATTTAATTATTAATTAATTTCCCTATCCCATGTATTAATTAACTAATTACTTTTAAGGGATATATATACATGGATCAAATAAGTAAAATAACATATATATATATATATATATATATATATTACAAACTAATCAAGTCGACGAAGAAGCTGAAAAATGTGAACGTGGAGGTGGAGGAAGTAGTTAATATGTTGGATATTGCACCTCATCGTAATGCCTAACGCTTCTTGCCCCCRTCACGAAGGGGTGGCGCAACAACTGTGCCGCCGTCCACCTCCTCGCAGGATCCATCTGCAAACAGCATGACACAAAATCCCGAAACTCAYGAGACGCTGTTGCCGGCGCTTCCGGTGGCTGGGACATACAGATGGCACACATAAGGCTTGCCCAATCACTCCCTCTTCCTACCGCAAAAGGAAAACGCCCCATGTAGAATTCYAAAATGCTGACACCCACGCTCCAGATATCTCCGGCACATCCGTCGTATCTTCCTTGGTTCAAATCTGTGTTTATTCTTTCAGGGCTCATGTAAGCAATGGTACCCACGGCAGAATTACAAGGATCCATGGTTTGTGCCAAGATGGTGGAAACCCCGARATCCGCAATCTTGACTTGTTTTCTGGAATTGATTAATAGATTGGAGGGTTTGATGTCTCGGTGGACGATCTTACGGCCGTGAAGGTAGTAGAGACCCGAGAGAACCTGAYGGGTGAGATCGGCCAAAGAGGGTTCATTGGACATGTGCATGCCTTCAAGGGATCCACGGTCCATGTACTCAAGAAGAACCTGGATCTCACCGGCATGATCGGACATGTCATGACACCTGACGACATTAAGGTTATCGACACCACGTAGGATCTCAATTTCACGACRGATCTGACGGCRGACATCATCATCGTGGTTTCCATAGATGACTTTGAGTGCGAAGAGAGTATGGGTGGGACGATGGAGGACTTTGTAGACTGTACCACCGCTGCCGCTGCCGATTCTATTGAGGCGATCGAGTTGGGAGAAGTCGAGGGGTTGGGCGGAGGAGGGTGGGAGAGGAAGTGGAAGGGCTACCTGGGGTTGGCGTTGGGGCAAAGGTAGGCTTAGGCTTAGGTGAGGGCGAAGGCGAGGACGAGTATTCTGATGGCTGGGCTTCATAACTGAACTCTAATATTAATAAAATGTAATCGGATGGGGGTTTAAGGTTTAGGGGCACAAGATATGATGTTGTGGGTTAATGAATGTGTATATATATATATATATATATATATATATATATGTGTGTGTATGTATGTATACATAGGTGTGTATATATATGGGTTTTGGATGAATAAAGTAGAAGTAAGAAAAGGGTTGAGGGTTTGGAGGAAGTCCATGAAAGAAACTTCAAGGAAGAGGAAGAGGTGGCGTTATTGTAAATAAAAATAAAAATGAATGTCAAAAATTAAACAATTAAATATATATCTATACTTATATTATAAAACATTGGATAAAAACATTTAAAAATCATTTTTTATGCATAAAGTATTATTTATTAATACATGTTACTTAAAATTCAAGATTACAAATATATTGTGTGTAACTACAATTTATTAAAGCTCCAATTCTAAATTCGTATAACTAAYTRCAGATAAACATAATCAAATAYATGATAAAYATCTCATTTTAAATATAAAAATT